ACTCCGCCCCCATCCCGCCCCTCCAGGCCCCACAGAGCTGTAGCACCTCCGATCCTCCCGCGTCACTGCAGCCGCCATGCCCGGAGGTCTCCTTCTCGGGGACGAGGCTCCCAACTTCGAGGCCAATACGACCGTCGGCCGCATCCGTTTCCACGACTATCTGGGGGACTCGTAAGTGGCCACCTCGTCGCCCTGCCCTGGCCTCGGGTCGCACCCGGACTCGGGGTGCCTTCCCTGTGTCTCCTCCCTTCCGTCCTCCCAGCCGCTCAGCCCCTTCCCGCACCGGCTCCTGCACGTGCCCCCCACCGTAGGTCCCTTGCCCCACGTCGGCCACTTGATCCCATCTCACGTCCCGGCCCCCGGCGTGGCCGGACTGGCCCCGGGCGGGAAACGGGGGGAGGGGAACGGAATCGGGTCCCCGCAGGTGTCGGGAACCCCAGGCCGGTGCCGAGGGGGGTTTGTTTTGCCTGTTTAGCTCGGGTTGGTAAACTGCAAGCAGCACTGCCCAGCCGAGGCCCCGTGGGGGGCAGAGGCCGGCGGCCTCGGCAGCCGCCTCCCGGGACCGGTGCCCAGGGTCGCAGCCGCCTCCCTGCCCCCGTCCTGGAATTTGCTCCCTGGGGAAGGCGGGTGTCTAGGGCCCGAGTCGGAGGTGACACCGCTGCTGGCTCCTGGAGGCCCAGCGTGCTCTCAGAGGGTTCTGCTTGCCGCGTGGTATTTGCAGGCTGCTCGGTACAAAATGTAAAAATGTTAAACCACAGGCTAGCTGTTAGATAAGAGGCCGATAGGCTTTTTATCCAGAGCCTCCTTCAGGGGCCGGGACATGATTTGAGAACAGCTTTGGGAGGAACCCAGAACACTCTGTATATAGGTGTGTCCTTCATTCCAGAACTTGCAACACTTTGAGGGGAGGGCTTTCCGCGATGGTGCAGTTGCAGTAATCTGTTCCTGCCCGGACTGGCCCCTGAGGGTGCCGGGACACTGTACTTCTGCGCTCCGAGGTCCTTTTGTTCCCAGTACTGTGCCCCTCGCTGGCCCCTCCCCCTCGGCCTTGCTTCCAGCAAACACATGGCCTTGCTGATGAGAAACAAATTAGTGACCCATTGGCCTGGCAAGCGCACCATTATGACTAGTGGTAAATTGGCGTCGCCCTGGTTTTACACCTCCTGAATCAGCAGACTTATAGTTGCTTCATCTGAAACATTCCAGATGTGTCTAGTGACAGTCTGTGTGGATCTGGAGTTCCAGTGGCCCCACGGCCCTGTGGGCTTCTACGGCTTAACAAGTCCTCCCGGGTTTGAATCCTTTTTAGATCTAGTGTCCAGGTCTATACATCTATATGTATAGACAAAGAGAGAAGGGAGTTTATGAGATTAACGATTGGACAGGGCTGTGCAGAGAACCTGGGAGAGATTCGGTACCTTAGGTCTACCCAAGCCCTAACAGCCCCGTAAGTCCATTTTCCAGTCACTCATTAAGGGGAAAGCTCACGTTTGTGAAAGACAGGACGCCACTAGAAAAAGGATGAGCCATGGAACATTCAGACGCGGAAGGCAGGACAAGACTTCAGAAATACAGATGAAGGCCCCTCGGAATCTAGGTATTAGTATAGTCTTCAAACCCCCCCGTGGGATTTTCATATATTCCTTCCCATTTCCACCCACAATCCTCACCCCCATAAAACATAAAAATCTTACCAGAACTCTTAGGTTCTATGGCTCAAAGGTAAATATTAACATAATGCATAATTACTATCACGATAACTATAAATGCTGTCACTGTTTAAGCTCACCCTACTTTGGGGTGGGCGGAGATTGTTGTCATTTATTGGCCTCTGGATCTATCTTGATTTGATTAAAAGTGGTACCTTCTCGGGGACCCACCACTGGGAAGATGAGAGATGTATCTGTGTCTATAAGCAAATACTTTGTAAGTCTCCCTGGGGCAAGCACGGGCTATTATCCCCTGCTCCAGCCCCGAAAGCAGCCTGAGCCCTTCATATCATATAATACGTGGATTTCTGCGTAATATAATTTTTTCCAAACTCCATTCGGTATGTGATCTCAATCCAGACTGTCAACTTTTGATTCAGGTATTTTTTTGGAGAAAAAAATTAAAATAGCTTTAAATGTTACTGGAACTTATCCTACCCCTGACAGTTGGATACAACTAAGGGGGTTCGGGCTGCATTGGGTGGGTTTATTGACCCTCGTCCCTGTTTCCTGCAGCAGAAGCAGCTTCTTCACCAAACAAACCCTGTGTTTTCCTGGGGTTTTCTGGTGGGGGGTCGTTTACTAAGTAGGGCGTGTTCCCTTAAAGGAGGAAACCCTTTGTCTTTTGAAAATGAGGAAGGAAGGAAATGGGATAATGTAACTGAATTACTCTTCAGAGCAGCAGTCAGGAAGGGACAGTTAAGGGGATGGCAGGCCACAGGCAGACATTCCCAGAGACGCTCCTATTCCTAGCCAAGTGGTAAACTGGGGTTTGGCCTCTTCGAGGGAGGACGTGAAGTGGCTTAAAACGAGTTCCTTAGCATGATTCAGCAAAACGATCTCTTGACTCAAAATGGAAAGAGAACACCTTACTTTCTTAATCCATCACCCCTTTAACAAGAAACTGCCTGTTTCATTTTTCCTCAGAACTTTCAACTGAACCTTAAGCAGATCCTTTTCCATAGAATCTAAGGCCTGGATTTTACTCGTAGCTAGATTATGTATTTCAAAAGATGTATGCCCTCTTACTGCCCTTTCTAAAAACTTCCAACGTAGCACACAATCCTAAAACTATTCCCTTTTTCTTCCCAATCTTGCCATCGGGCCCGCAATCCTTTTTGTAAGAAGGTCTTTTCCTTTCCCAAAGCTCTGGGAGTTGAGTGACAGGTGTAAGTGGGTGGAAAGGGGGTACCCTTGCCTCTGCTCTGTTCTTTGTGCTTCGGGACACTTGGCAGACTTCAGAGAGGTCAGCTTGGCATCTAGACTAGATTTAGGAATGTACTAGATTAAGGTCCTGCTTTAATGTTGTATATCCATGGGAGTGAGGAAAACTGAATGTTAAATTTTTCTTTTTATTAGAGAAAGTAGTGCAGTTTCTGTCGCCAAGGAGAAGGACATGGTACCCCAAAGGTTCTTAGTGACTCAGCTTGATAGGTGCTCAGAATCTATACAAGTTTCACCTTAAGCAACAACGATTTAGGGATTAGTATTTACCTGTAGAAATCTACATTGTAGGTTGTCAGTTTGCCACCTAGTCGCTCTGAAGCAAGAAGAAAAACCGCAAATGAGAGAGGTAAAACTCTTGTTTGGTCAGGGTATAAATATTGGATGTCCTGTTTGGCAGGTTAGATCAGTAAAGCAGTTTTACAAAAAGAGTTTATATCTATTCACTTCAAAGAAGCCACATGGCAACTTTAATTTTACATTTAAATAGAGGACAGAAGCCTATTAATTTCAAATTACATAATCTGTTTATTATTGCGGTCAGGCATTTGATTGGATTCAGGGCCTATGGGGACACCCAGTTTTGGAGATGATGGTCAGGGTCTGTGTGCTTAGAAAAAAAATGTAGAAGAGGGTAAGAAGGAAAAAAGAAGTTATTTCAATAAGCTAGTTGGTTTGAGTAGCACAGTTTTTATTAGCTGAAAAGGGGTCAGAGTGGCTCTGTCGTTATTAAAAGAGGCAACGCTCTTAAATTACAGTCTTTTAAAATATTTGTCATCTTGAATTGTATATCCTTGATTGAATTGGGCTATAAACATTGGCTTTTCTGGAGGTGAGAAGATCAAAAAGCACTCCTCAACAGAAAAGTTTCAAAGTAATTGTCTTCATAAGCATTCGTTGAAAAAAGAAAGTCATTTCTAATCCAGGATTTGTGGCTTCTCATTCGTTCTATATGATGTTGGTGATAACCTCTTCATTCAGTCGTGATCTTGGTTTTCTTCAGATGGGGCATTCTCTTCTCCCATCCTCGGGACTTTACCCCGGTGTGTACCACGGAGCTTGGCAGAGCCGCGAAGCTGGCCCCAGAATTTGCCAAGAGGAACGTGAAACTGATTGCCCTTTCGATAGACAGTGTGGAAGACCATCTTGCCTGGAGCAAGGTATAGTATCTAGGGGCGTGTGCTTTGAGGCTATAGATCAAGGTGTCAGTGATAGAGCAGCTGGGGGGTGCTTTGAGGTGAAGGTACAAGTAAACTTGAGGTTCAGACTTCACTGATCATTTGGAAACCTGACCTGGGTTGTGCAGTGACCTCTGCCTTGCTCAGTGCCAGGGGCCAGTGCTCAGCCCTCATCTCCCAGCAGCATTCAGCCCAGCTGATCACGTTTTCCTGCCTTGGCTACCAGGACACCACATCGCTAAGCTGTTCCTGCTCAGGCTCAGACTTGAGTTTCGTCGCCTCCCAACTCCTAATTTACGCTGGAGTTTCCCTGGGCTCATTTCTTGGACCCCTTCTCTTTTTATCGATGCTCTTTCCCTTGGTGAGCTCATGTGCTCACGATCATATGCTGATTCCCAGTTTCTATCTCTAGGCCAGACTCCCCTGGCTCTTCCATATCGGTACAACCACTGCCTACTTGGCATCTGGCCCGGGGTGTCCTGTCATCTGAAACCTACTATGTCTAAAACTGGACATCTCTTCTTAATCCCAGGGTCTTACTCGTCTGAGCTAATGGCAATTGCATTTTTGTGGTGTAGTTGCTTAGGCCACAAGTCCAGGAATCATCCTTAATTTCCCTGGTTTCTTTCACATCATACGTCTGATCCATCAGCAAGCTTGGGTGCAGTGCCTTCAAAATATCTCCAGAACCCCATTTGGAAGACTCTTTCCCCAGGTGTCTTTGTGACCTGCCCTCACCTCTTTCAGTTTTCAACTCAAATGACATCCCTATGGCTGTCTTTGGTGTCCGCATCTAAAATTACAACCCCCTCCATGTTCTCCCTATCCCCCTCTGATTAATTTTTCTCCTTAGCATTTGTCACCATCTGAAATACTGTGCACATTGCTAATTCCATTTGTTTGTTTGTGTGTGTGTGTGTTCTTTCATCCCCACTAGAGTGGAAGCTTAGCAGGGGAGACCCCTGTTTGGCCGCTGCTGAGTCAGTGCTCGGTACTGGTGGGGCTAGATTCACGGAATGAACGAACTGAAGGAACTGTCTACTTTCAACAAAAGGATTTCCTTGGACAATAAATGGAGTGGTCTAAACTTAACTTGCGAACGTGTTAATGATTTTGCTACGGTGTGCTCCTACCTAATGATAGGTAACTCTGGAGAATGCACCTGAATAAAAGATGTAGCTCTGATGCGTCAGCCGGTGCCCATGGCTTTATCCCTTGGGCGGTTCATACCAGTTAATCCTGAGTGTCTGAGAAGAATCACGTAGAGGACAAAAGGGAAGGCCATTTCACACGGAAGAGTTGGAGGGATTTGCTCAAGGTTTCCTACTAGAAAATGATGGCATTGTGATTTGAACCTCAAACCAAAGCTCTTTTGATACTGGATGATAGAGAGCTGGAATTAGCCTGACTAGGACAGAGTAAAGCCGAAGCGTAGGTTCTTTGGTGTTTGTGGGTGTCATGTAACGCCTGTCACGCAAGTGGCAGGGTTGAGAACTGCATAGCAACAATTGAAACTACAGATGGCCAAGGAAGAGTTGATAGCCCATTAGACAATACCTTTTAAGGTATAAATGCTATGCCATCAACTCCTGTGTTGTTTTCAAGGCTCCATATAATAAATAAGACCTCATTCCAACTTTAAATCCTCTCTTCCGTACCTCTACCCAGATAAGTTCCTCATTCTCCAATCAGTAGTTTACGGTGAGACTTGCCTACGACATTTGTATTCCTATTGCTCCCTCTCCCTGGCGTGCCTTCCTAGCCCTGTGAAAATCTAACACATCCTTCAAGAGCCCAGGTAGAAGTCACACCCCTTCCTAGAAGCCTTTCCTAAGTCAGCAGTCCTACAAATGGGGATGTTAGTACATTTGCCTTTACATATTATAGTCTTGTGTTTGCTGCTACTTCACATGGGGATCACCTGACCAAATTAGAAGTTCCTTTGAACGCAGGAACGGCGTCTTACTCAGCTGTATTGCATATGTACTCATAACGCTTAGCCCACCCTGAGCGCTACAGCTCAAGTAATAAAGCTGGATTTTTTTTTTCCCCCAAAACTTCCAAGGAATGGAAGAGTAGAAATGAATGAGGCTTTACGAAGGGAGAAAGGTTAGAGAAAGGACAGAGTATATTACTGTCCTTTAGTTTCGACTTGAAATGCTTTGTTTTCGACATTGATTTCACCCTAGTGTAAATTTACCGCTGCCGTTTCACCCATACGAGATTTACGCTTAACTTGTCCTTGAAGTATGTATATTCAATTATCCACTCTTGTGCTTACTTTAAGTTTTGTGATGTTTGTTTCTTAACATCTGTCTCACAGTGGCTTCATGTCTCACTCAGGATGCTTTTGAGGCAGGGACCGGATCTATAGAATTATCTGTGCATGTGGCATTGTTTCTAGATGTGATGGATTTAAGGAAACCATTATTTCTGATGGTTTTTACAATATTGGGAACCCCAAAGGTACCTTGGATTGGGATCTAAGGCGACATTATTCAATTTTTAAAAAGTTGACTGCTGCTTCCTCAACGTAGTAAAAGCACCCTGTGTCAACTGGTGTATAGAGACTTGGGCATGCAAAGGGTCTGTGGTTGGAACTGAAACCTATACACCCCCTGTTATTCCGGTCAAGGATAACTGGGGATGAGGAACGTTCATTCATTTACGTATTAAAATTGCCTAGAGAAATTCCTGTGGTCGCGGTCCTCTTCCCTATCTTGCAGTATGGCGGCTGTTAATTGATTGAGTTCAGAGGATGCGGCTGGTTTAGATTTCTCTTTCCTGTTACCTGCACTGTAGGACATCAACGCTTACAATGGCGAGAAGCCCACCGAGAAGTTACCTTTTCCCATCATTGACGATCAGCATCGGGATCTCGCCGTCCTGCTGGGCATGCTGGACCCGGCCGAGAAGGACGAGAAGGGCATGCCTGTGACGGCGCGTGTGGTGAGTCGCGGAAATCCATTCCGTGGTCCTCATGACTGGCCAGGCTGTCTGTCCAAGTAAATGCTTCAGCCAATTAGAGGACATAGGGAGAAGAATATCCCCAATTAGGAAAAAATTGTATTGGTGGCAGTCTCATTGGTCGTCAGTAATGCCCATGCAAAACTGTCAGCTAAATTTTTAAACTGCTTAATTCATAGGTTTTGGAAATCTCCATAAAACAAGGAACTATCCTATGAAGTCACCTAGAATTGAGGAATCTTTTCTGTAGCCCTCCTGACAGCCCTCCCTCTAAACTGGTGGGTCTTGTCCTTCAGGAGGCAGCTCTGGTTTTGAGTTCTTTGTTCTGTCCATCTTCACGCGAGAACAAACTTAGTCCCTCATCTGTGAAAAGTACAACTATTTGAAGACCAATATCAACTCCCACTAGTCTTATTGTGGTGATCATACTCCCTAGTTAGCATAGTACCTCCCTGAGGCCTTTCCTGGATTCACTTTGCATATCGCTTTTTCTTGCTGGGACAACCAGAACCAAATCTAATTCCCTTCTAAGTTTAGAAAAATAATGTGGATACTATGTTGTACACCTGAAACTAATATAATATTGTGTGTCAAGTGTAATTGAAAAAAGAAAAAGAACATGGAGAAGAAAAGTATCTTGAGTCCAGCCACCCAGATTAAGTTTGGTGTATCATTCTAGATGTTTGGACATTTTTTTGTGTGTATTTTTATACCTTTGAACATTTTTAATGACTGAAGAGCTTTCTAAGGGGCTTTAATATCCAAACCACTCAAAGAACGCTTCCTATTTATGTGTCTGTGTGCTTTGCAGGTATTTATTTTTGGTCCTGATAAGAAACTGAAGCTGTCTATCCTCTACCCAGCTACCACCGGCAGGAATTTTGATGAGATTCTGAGAGTCGTTATCTCTCTCCAGCTGACAGCAGAAAAGAGGGTTGCCACCCCGGTTGACTGGAAGGTAAAGATGTTCTAAGGGCTGATACCCATCTTCCCTGGAAGGCCTGGGGACTAGTGTCTGAATGGCTGCCCTCAGGCTCTCTGTTGCTCTGTCTCTGGCATGCAATTACACTGGGAAGATTTGTCCTTATGGCTGAGTTTAAGATATGCTGAGAGGCCATTTTCAAGGTCTTTAACATTTTTATACAAAACACAAATTCCCTATATTGCTTCCCAGCTTTTAGAATTTTTGGACAAATTAATTCGATGGATTCCTTTTCCTAATAATAAGATTCTTTTAAACCTTTAACCTTTCCCTGATGGCAGAATATTTAAAACAAAACTTAGACTGGCCACTTACATCATGGCTGTAAAACGATTTGTTGTGTTAATGACATAAAGCGTTTCATTTCTCTTAAGTGTCAGTCTTTTAAACCCATATAGAATTCTCTGAATCTTGTTCATAAACTTTTAATCTCTAATATGTCTGCAGTATGTAGGACATGGATAATATCACAAAAGTATCTTAATGGTGCTTCATTTTTATTTTATTTGTTTTTTTTTAAAGATTTTATTGGGGAATTGGGGAAGGGGAACAGACAAGTTACTGTCCTTTGGTTATTCAGTCTAGTTGTGGAGGATGTCACTTCACTGGCCCCTGTTTGTATTATCATTGAGCTCTTCCCGAGTGAGGCAGATCGGTGGACGGCCGCTCACAGCAGCTCAGGCCAGCTGCCAGCTGCTACGCTGGCTGCCAGCCACTCACTATAACTCACAGCAGCCCCATGCAGCCCCCTGCACCCCATGCCATCGCCGGCGACTCACGGCAGCCCAGCTCCAGGTCGAGCTGTTCATCATCTTAGCTGTAGAGGGCAGTGTCACTGGCCCTCAATGTGGGATCCAAACTGGGGCCGTGCTGCTTAGAGCTGGCGTCCCAAGCCAGCTCTTAACCAACGTGCCACTCGGCCAGCCCTGTGCTTCATTTTAGAATATGCTAACCTGAATACCTGGTTATTTTTTTTCCAGATAGGCAAATCAACTAAAATTCTGTGTCCATTCATTGAACATGAGTTTACTGAGTCCAGTGGGCCCTGGGAGATAGCCGCGAACAGTATAAAGTCCCTCCCCTCTTAGAGCTCACATTCCAGTGGGTAGAGACCAACAATATACCAGTTTATAGTATGTTAGGCGGCAGTAAGTGACAGAATAATCAAGTGAGATGGGGAGAATGGGAGCACAGAGTGGAGGGTTGCTTTTCCAAATGGCTGTCAGTGGAGGCCTTCCTCCGAAGGGACCTTTGGGAAGGACATGATGAATGAGAGACCAACTCATGCACTTCTGTGAGGGAAGAGCCTGCAGAAGGATCAGCTGGTGCAAGCAGCTTTTCCTGAAAGCGAGCTTGGCATGTGCAAGGAATAGAAAGAAAGCCAGCACACCTGGGAACGCAGCCCAGGAGAGGGGGAGTGAGACGGGGCAGGGATAAGAACTTAGAGTGAAAATGTTAAAGGATGGTGGCAAGCCATTCCTGGGTTTAAAACAGGACTGTTTCTTGTGAAGATGGGGAAATGCGTCCCTCGGCAAATGCCAGAGATCAACTTGTAAAAAAATTCCTCAGCTGGGGAGAGAGTAAATAAGCTTGGTTCTTCTCATTCGCTCCTGTACTAGCTACTTTTCTGAAGTTAATTCTTGCCCTAGGCCTTTCCTTGAAGGTTGAATCTCACCGTTCTCAATTGTCTTTCCGTAGAATGGCGATAGCGTGATGGTCCTTCCCACCATCCCCGAAGAGGAAGCCAAGAAAATTTTCCCTAAAGGAGTCTTCACCAAAGAGCTCCCATCTGGCAAGAAATACCTGCGCTACACACCCCAGCCGTAGGTCTTCCTGAGGCATTTGTGCTGGAGCTGCTCACAGCACAGTGAGCCAGAGGGTGCCAGCTGCCACTCACGTTTCCTACGGCAATTCCATGAAAACATCCCGGTGTGATCACAGCCAAGGTCTTTAGGTTGCTACAGTACTGGCTTATTAAATGAAAATGGCACTAAAAACTCCGCGGGGTTCTCTGCTGCGTGCCTTCACCAGCATTCTGTTCTGTTCATGTATCGCAGCCCTATGCTGACTCTCTTTGAAGATCTGAGTCTCTATATTTGAGACTCAGATCTTGCTGGATCTCTGCAGAGTTTGTGAGCAACGAGGTAGACCCATTGGTAGTTGAAAAAGCCCGCTTTGCTCCATCATGGAATGACCACCCGTTTTTAGGTGTTCTAATCGAATCTCCTCTTCTGTTCTGTGTTTTGGGGGAGCAGCAGGACTTGCGGTTCAGTTTCCTCTGTAGATCTCTTAGTGTATAACCCAAGAAGTTAGTAACCCAGATATTCTTCAGTATTCAGTGTTTCGAGCACAGCTAGGGGGGACAACTTTTCAGTTCTGTACTTTTCCAGTAGATAACTAAAGTCGGAAGAAGAGGGGAAGGGGGATCTTAAACTATTTTGCTAAAAGAAAACTTCAGCAAATTTCTACCCAAAGAGGGAAGGTACAGAAAAGGCTCCATGTACCTGCCGGGAGGGGTAGCAGAGGTGTGAGCACAATGCCAGTGCCATGTACCTTTCACACAGCCCTTCCAGGCGTCGGTCTGCTCCGCTGTGATGGACGCCGAAGGGGCCCACCATGCAAGGGGGGAGGTGAGGATGACTGGAGATGTTTTATTATAGAACTGTTCTTGCTGGCAGCGTGGGTATTTTCTGAATTTTGCTTTTTGGGGATCTAGCCAATAAATCCTTTGTTAAAACTGGATCTGAGAATTCTCTTGTCACATTTTGAAGTACTCTTGTAGACTCGTGTGCTAAGGACGAGGCCCCTCGCTAGGATTGGCATGGGCACTTTTCTCAAGGACAGACAGACACATAAAAATTTTCATTTAGTGCAAACGGAGGCGCAGCTGACAAACGTGATTTCACCACGTCTCTTGGGCCCTTCATGTTACGTGCTGGGTCCTGTACTCTGCTGAGCTTGTGAGTCCTGCTACGTCGAGCTCCCCTGACCTAATGCATTAACGGGATTGCTGGGCTTAAGATTGTGAATCTTGAGGATAATGGTGCATCTGTGCTCTTCTGGAAAGAGTACGAATTACTCTGAACTCATGGTCTCTCAGACTTACCACTGTGCTTATGAGCGCTAGGTTTAAAAAGAAGTGCTCTCTTGCATGTAGCCCTATTGTTATTGAATAATGCAAAACATGATCCCTGGTGCCATGTGTTAGACAAGTCACTAAGCCCCTACTTCCTTGATTTCTCCACATGTAACATTTGGGTGACACCGAGAAGGTTGAGAAAGAAGGTGAAAATTCCGAGTTTCACAGTATCCGGGGAATGCTGGCCTGAGAGACCTACGAGGGTTGGCATCCTGCTGTCTTCCAAGTCCCAGTATATTTTGCTCTTAAAGAACTAACACTGTCTGCTCCCCTTAAAGGATGTCAGCTCCCCCATCTCTCATCACCTCCCTATGAGGTTCCTCGCTGCTCTCCTCTTCCCTTGGCTGTTCGCTGCCTTTAGTCCTTGTCGCTCTTGAAGAGTCTGACTTCACCTTTCTTTCATGGTGACAGTTCAGTCTGAATCTCCAACATTAATTATTCAAACTTGAGTCTACTGACCGAGGGAACATTTGCATTGAATTTGCAAAATCAAAATTGAATTCATCAACTTTCCCCCCAATAAACGTATTGCCTCTCTCATTACTCACTCAGGCACCCAAACCTTGATGTTTTGGCTCCATCTACACACATGTCAGTATAAAAACGCTTAAAAAGCTCAAAGAAAAGGGGGTCATGTGCCCCAAAATTGAGTTCCAGCTCTGCCACTAAGCAGCCATGAAGCCATGGGACTGAAAGTATTCTTTTCCAAATACAAAATATTACATAATATACATTTCTGGGTAGAAATGATTCTAAGTACATTTTTAATACACTTGGGCATGGAGAGTACAATTCCCCCATCAAGAATTGTTGCTCAAAAAATGAAAAGATTAAAAAAAAAAAAGAATTGTTCCTTTCAATTTTCATAGGGAGAACAGAATAAATTGCATTATGCATCCAAAGATTTAATAACCGAAAGTGAATTAATATATGACCATGGTGGCTATGAGAGAAGCTTAAGGAATTTGAGAGGCAGTCAGTCCACGTGACGTCTCAAAAAATCACCAGGTGCTTTGGCTAGAATAGTTAGTGTTCCAAGATTGCCACACACCTGGTATCATTTCCAACCTCCACCCTAAGGATAGGAATCTACATTGAGGAGAAGCTCAGTATACAGAACACAGAACAGCTGTGTTTAAATTATGCCAATTTGGGTGTAGTGAGCTGGTGTTAGTGATTTACTCCATTTGACCCCACCCCTTGAGGGCAATGCAAATAAAATAAAACTGATTCCAGCTTAAATGTGACAGTAACTGGTTAAAAAGTCATTACCACCTTCTTTGCAGTGACTGCTCCTGAAATGGGCATATGATTCAGTTCTCGGGAAGGAGACATAAATAAAAGATCATTGGAGTTTCTAGAAGAATTCTTGAAAGCAATTGGAAGCTATTTGTTTTGTCTTCTACTGAATATGAACAAGAAAACATGAGGCACTGATTGCTGCTGGGAACGGAACCAGCCACAGAACGAGACTGCAAAGCTCAACAGCAGAGTGGAGAGAGAAAAAAATCTGATTGTCATCTTCACTGAGTCTACCGGCTGCAAACCGCCCTACCTCTGGACTTACACTACGCAAAATAATACATTTCCTTAGTGCCTTTCTGAGTTGGGTTTTCTGGTCTCTGGGGCCAAAGCATCCTAACAGATACGCATGGAGTGAAGTATTGTCCTCCAGCTGTTTCAAATATAAGGTAATGTACATCCTAAGTGTAGGGCAGACATCTGTTTACGGCTGCTTGATCCCCTACACGTGATCTCCAGCTTCAATATGCACTAAATCGAATGAGGAGCATAGTCCAAGTCAGAGCCCAGGGCCTACTCCCAGAGACTGACTGTAGGCGGCCATTGAGTTCTTCATCTGTAACAACCCAGGTGATGCTGAGTACAGCAGACACTGCACCCAATATCCATTCCCCGCCCCCTTTATTAAAAGCACCCAGGATGGATGAAGGCTGGCAAGGTGAGTGCCAGGCCAAAGGCATCTTGAGATGATAGGTGTGGCCATGTGACAACGCTGGCTGAGGGTGGGGTCGCTTCCTCACTAAAAGGCAAAGCCTGGTAAAAGGAAAGGTCCTTGCCCTACTGGAAAGCAAATCGCAGACCTGGGGTTGCAGATGACGATCTGCTACCCTCAGAATCAAAGTCACCAGCCAAGGAGGAAGGAGGAAGCAGCTACAAGACATCTGGGTCCGTGATCACCGCCTCGGGCTGCTGCACCGGTCCTATTTCCAGACACCTGGTTACATCAGAAAAATGAAGAAGCCCTATGTGATCGTGCCTCGGGGGCCGCGTTTCTGTGGCTTGCGGCCACACCCAATATTTGCTGACACACGAGTGTGCCGCAGGCCACTCAGAAATACTGCCCTACTGTGCTAGGTATCCAGGAGGCTCTTAGTAAATACTTAGGCTTGACCTTTTCGCTCGTGTTTCCTTCTATTCTTACTTCTAGTATGGTTTTCCTTAGACAATCTTGTATTGTTTCAAAGTCTTGTTGAAATTAAAAGGAACCACGGATTCTAAATAAACAGACCATAAAATTCTACTTTATTTGGCTTAAAAATAAAAGGAAAAGTGGTATCAAACAGTACTGGTGCAATGCAAAATTGTTAACTTCTCCTCAACTTAGCTTTCAGTAACTAAGATTATGGAACAGTTCCACTTTTCAGTATTTACTAATTGGGGAAAGTGGGGAATAACTTTACTCTGGAAAATGTTGCTTATAGCAATATCACAAGTCAGAATTATAGATCCTAAGCTTCAGACAGTAATAATACCATAGCATGCTGTGAATAACTTGTACTCTGTTATAACTTGCTTTCAGCTAGCTGTAGGGTTTCATTCGGTAGGTCATGAGTTTTGGGATATCCTATCTGAAGAATTTTTTGAACATCTCAAATCTGCAACTACTTAAAATTAGACCTTTGGCAGGATCCCATCAATAACTTATAAACTAAATGCAGCAGTAACTTGTTCCAGCAACTTCTAAGTAAACTCCTTGCCAGATAATCCTTCAGCACTTGAACCGTGATATCGGCTGGGTCTTCAACCTGACTTATCATATTAGTGCCATCAGTGTCCTTTTCTGTAATGGAATCCAGTTTCCAACTATAAAAGAAAGTCAAAAGTGAAATATTAGACTATGAGCATTTCAGAAAAAAAAAAAAAAAGAACCAGAAAACTTAGGAAAAGTTCCCATTTGATTATCTGGAAAATTCCCTCTAAAAGATCTTACATATTAAGGACTTTGATACATTATAAGTAAATATGTGTGCATCTCTATACCATTAAATGTCTTATAAAGAGATACTACATTAATTCAACTAGCCTCTCTCTTAAGGAAAAGAAGAATGTTAGGAGAGTTGAATTCCAGTTAACTTTGACTGATTGCAGGGTAACTGGGAAATTTTTTTCTAAATCGGAATGAAATTTTCTTAAATAATGGGGCCTGGAAAAAACAGTGACAAATGAGGAACGGAACCCAATTACTTTGACTCCCAATTAGCTTTTCAGTTTATGAAATAGGGTTTCTACAAGAAAGTGGAGAGGATGTCTCTAGGAAGGCTGCCTAAAAAGAACCAAGCTGCTTTGTTTGAAAGGAACGTTACCTGTAAGTTTGGTCATGCCAATTTCCTTCCTCCAACAAACACACTGCATGATTGTCATAAATGGTGGGGGCAGAAGTGAGCTTCTATTTTAAGGGACTCAGGTGGCTATCTGCTTGCGGACGTGGTGGGCTTGAAGCTGCACTGATGCCAACCACATGTTTGAGGGCATGTTTATTTGGGGTGACTTGGCAGCTGGAGGAGTGAGGGTGCTGGAGGACCCTGCAGCCCGTTCTTGGCACCATTCCTGGTTCCTGGCCTACTTCTGCATTTGCCTGGTGCCCGATGGCCCTGGCAGAGCTGCTGTCTTCTCCGCTCAGCAGTGGGCTCAGGCCCAAATGAGCTGTTAGGGGCCCTACCGGAGACCCCTTGAGTAACTAATCTTGCAGGCTACCCTCCTCCCCACCAGACTTGCCTCTACTCCCTCCTGGCCCCATGTGACCAGCCCTCTCCGTCCCCAACTCTAGGCATGACTCCCAGCATGCCTCAGACTTTTCTAAATTAGCCCTGATTGTGGAGCAAAGTAGGAAGAGGCGTCGGGGCATAACCTAAGTGACTCCATAATAAAATATTTTGAGGTCTCTTTAAAAATTCATGCAAATGTGTCACCCTACACCATAATGTTTGTTTTAATATGAAACATTTTAAATAACCTAACAGTTAAATAAGTTAACTTCTCCCTCGAAAAGAATTTCAAGACAAATTGTACTCTGGGAAGACGCCCATGACCCACTTGTGGCCCACAAGACCCCAGCACAGCACCCACACATCCATGGAGCGTGCACACGCCAAAGGGAGGAAGAAGCACCAGCGTTTAGACGCTAATGTCCAACTGGTATGCATGACGTACGACCCTCCCCGCCCCTAATCCCAGGGATCCCTAGTTCTGAACATCAGGGGAAAGGAGCGAGGAGGTGGGAAACAGAGAGGGGGGAAAGGGGGCAAAATTACACCTTTCAAAAATATTCTCTAATTTTAATTTTTAAGGAATTCAGGTGAGCTTTACCCCAATTTTCCCAAATTAATGCATTTTTTTCACCACCTATTTTCACCGCCTATATTTTGCTATTTGACTTCCTAATTCATTTCAGCTGTGTAGCTTGGTATTCACAGTAAGAAGAATCTAATCCAAGTGTCAAGTTTATTACCTCAGCTTTGCTCTTCCAGTTGTATTCTCCGGTGCTCATCTGAGGACCTATCTTGACTGAGCCAATTCAAATACATGCATCAAACAGAAAGAAACTAAGTTAGGAGTGTATGAGTAAACGTAGTAGAAGAATATTTTGAAACAGCAATTTGCTTTCTCTCTTCCCTTCCACATGGGTTCTTTACTTTCTTCCCTCAGGGAGTGTCACGCTGGGGCTCAGCTCCCAGCAGATGAACCCAGGATTCAGTGAGGCCGAAAAGGAACAACAACCGAGCCACAGATAGGGGGTTCATACCACTACATTACATTCTCGATGACGGCTGGTTGAGACATGAGAAGCAAACATCCGTCAACACCCCAACACGGAGCCTTCCTGCACCACAGTCTTGCTGGGCGAGACACAGGAAGTAGGACCCACAGGATCTGCACCATCCGCGACACCTGCGCTTGCTAAGGCAGCCGCGGCAGGTATATGCAAAACAATAGTAGTAGCTAATGGCCAACTGGTTACAGCTGATGGCCATCTAATACCCAAGTCAGCAGCTTTCCACATGAGGCCAACAGCCTGGAAACTGCTCTCCTGGCCCTTTCCCAACAGGGAGGTTTGTTAACAGGCTCCCAAAAGTCCAAGATAAGGGCTGAGAAACTCAAATGAGAACAGGCAGGTCACACACATGATGAAGTGGGCTGCACACAGGACAAAAGCAAGCGGCATGGACTGTGGAAAACGACAGCATCTGCTTCTCCTTGGGCGCCCGCTGACACTCAGCTCTGATTATCGCCACACGCAGGAAGAAGGGCCGAGGGTTGGCCGACTTTCTCATTTTTTTCAAGAAAAGCTCAAAATCTGGATTTTTTTTTTAAATGTGAAATTCCTGGATATTTATACTTGGCAACTAATTTTAAATTTTTAAAAGAAAACCAATATGTGGGCCAAATCCAGTGTGCTGGCTAAATCCATGATGGGCCTACCATTCGTGGCTTCTGTCCCAAACTCATTGGGGAATACAGAGTGACATATTTCCCTCAGTCTCTCTGGAATCAGTGGAGGAAGGAGAGAGGCCTACAGGCCCCAGGAAGGGTTGAAACCTGTGCCCTATTTCCACTTAAGTTCTCTGACTCGATGGCCCTCAGGGCACCCCGAGTCTTGCTCTATACTCCTGCGCCCCACAAGTGCAGTGGAAGCAGCAGAGTGACAGACCTGAAGAGACTGATAGTGTAAAGGTCACCTCAGTGTTAGCCAGCTTGGACGGGAGACCCAGGAGCAGAGGGGGCTCCCCCAAATCAAGCGCTGCATATAACCCCAGAACAAGGCATGGAAAGTGAGCCTTAAGAACATCTGAGTTTGAACTTGCTTCTAGGGGACGAGTGGAATTAGGTATTGAACGTCTGTCTCTCCTCCCCACAAGGGCAGAGGCCTTGTTTGGCTCACTCACCGACTAGCGCTTGGCACAGTGCCCAGCACACAAGTAGAGTCAAATTTTATAAGAATTATGCAGATGAGAAATATTGAGATATAAACTATTAATCAAATGTCATTCTATGCACACAATTTGAAATCATGTAAACTCCCCTCCCCCACCCTGAACTAATAATTCATTAAGAATTACATAATATCTAAGCTAGCAAGTCACACAAATTGTAAACACTGGGGATGGTGCTAATTAGAGGAGCAAATCAAGGATGACTGTTTTCAAGTGGGGACAGCTGGGAGAATATTGCCGCTGGGATCTGTGAGGCAGGGATGCTGGGCACTGAATGACAGATCTTGAGTGATTTTCTCTAGAGCAAGGCCTTCCTGTCTAGTCATCTGAGTTGTGGCCATGACCGTGGTGTGGGATACTCAGTAAGCATGGGTCAAGTTCCATATTCCCTTTGGTTGTTGGGAGCCATCCAGCTCCCCCGTACTGTGTGTGTCTGTCCCCTCCCCATTCCCGCTCTGCGCCCAACAGGGCTCCAGCCTACTGTGGCAGAGACAGAGTACAACATAGAAGCTGCCCACCTACCACTACCACCACCACAGCAAGGTTTGAGGGAGGGACGCGAGAGGAAGAAGCCACCTGGATTTCAGGGTCTGGAAGTCTCTGACCTCCCAGAAGCAACATGGTTGTCAAGGTGGCCCAAGAATGGGGACTGATGATAAACCCACACAATCCCCTCAAGTCATTTTCTTACAGTTAAATGAATTTTGCCCGTATGAGAATTCCTTCTCAATGGTTTTCCGACCACTACAGGGCTACCCCTTACCTACGGCGTTGGGGTTGTTACTTTCGGCAGGCTCGGAAGCTTGGACAACCAGCAGCTTGCTTAAATTTGAAGTTCCCTGAACCTAAAGGAGAAAAATCCAAATGAGTCACAAGAGCATTCTTTGACCTCTTAGCTGCTGCTTTCTAACTTTTCCAAAGGAATATAAGAAATAAGCCAAAACCTAGAAACAGGCCTCCAACCTAAGCTCTATCTTTTTCATTTCAAATCCTTTTTAATGTTGCTTCAAAAAGTCATGGACCAGTAAATTATTTCCTTTGCATATTTATAGACACCAGAAAGGTGTATTTTCTACGGCCGACTTGTAAATGGACTGGAAATTCCCAGGTTAGAAACGAAATCCCCTCTGAATTACTTTTACTGCTACACTGACGTTCAAGGGTTCAGGGCTCAGCCGTCCCACGTGACAGGGCAGTCTTCTTAGAGTTTTCACCCACAAAATTGGCCTTCCCAGAATGCAAGTAGCATATAAGAATCAACTATAACTATCATTTCTAAATACGTCATATTATCTCATTTAATCCTCACAATGACCTTATGAGGTGACTGCTGCTATTACGCTCATCCTACTAATGAGAAACCTGAGGGTCAGTGGGCGGCTTGCCCGCGAGCACACACCTCAGGGGCCCCGGGGTCAGGTTTTAAATCCAAATAGGCCTGACTCCAAACCCTGGGGGCTCCACAAACGAAGCTGTGGGTGCTGCTCCTGCGTTCCCTGCCTCACCCCACCCCTTCTCTCAAAGCTAAGGAGATTTTCATTTCCTATTAAAGAAGAGCATTTAAATTTCCTCATCCTCTGAATTGTTGCAAAGTACAAAAGAATGTTATCAAAGGTGGAAATGCACTTTTTAGGAGGCTTGCCAGCTTCTCCAGGGCATACATTTTCGTGAAATGAATGAGCTTTCCAAGGGGAGAAGCTCACCACCGGATTAAAGAGGCGTCAGCTCTTCCCATGGCCTCTTGGTCTTCCCCGCTCCTGGGTTCCACCTCCCGTCCCCTGTGGACCTTGTCTCTGCTCACCCCATTCCCCATTACCTCCTAGGTGTCCACACTTCCCCGCTCCTTACGGAAGCATGGAATGATGCGGCCCAGGGCCCGCTCTCCAGTTGTACCCACAGCCCCTAAGGTGGCAACAAAGTGACACGGCCCCAACTCTGCTCCGTTATTATTAATCAGTGCATATACTTCAGAGCCACACAACACACGGTGTCATCGCCTTGGTGTGAACTCAGAAAAGCGCCCCCTGACCGTCCTTCCTCTGGGGAGGCACAGCCCCACCCCTCGGCAAGCAGACAGCAGGCCGATTCCAGACCCCACCTGCCCCTCGGTCACACCTGTGTGCAGGGCACAACCTACATGACAAAACACAGAAACCCGGGGTATGTAATGGCTGTTTTGTTGAGGATGGGTGAGAATTGCAGGGTCTCTCTGGGTTCAATTTCTTTCTGAGGTGGTCAGTTGAGTTTTAAAATCACTTTTGGGGCACCATGAAACACAAATGACCCCTTATAGATGATCCTCCTTACCTGCTCACAGGTTGTAGGTAAGATGCAAGGTGCGAGATACGGCAGCTCTGTCCTAGTATCAATTACACTGCCGAACACGACAATAACGAATTTCATCGTCTCATTATCAATAGTGATCTCATTGTACCTTGACAAGGTTTCCACATATGCCACATTGAGCGCTACACACTTCTGAAACTTTAAGTCCTACAATAAAATTACATTTTTTTTCTCTAAATCATAGAAAATGACATGTGGCATCAAGAGGAAAACAAATTCACTGATTTAGCTGAGTTCTTGGAGGGTGTCAAAGGTAAATAAATGGGCCCCGAGACCAACACAGAGAATTGATATAAAGTTCGAAATTGCCTCTGATGAGATTCTGAACTCGGTTATGCTGTCTAGGTTCGGTGGCCCCGGATGTGGCCGCCCAGCCTGGTTTGTTGGCTTGCGTGAGCTCTCAACCAGCCATCACGATCTCAACGAAGCATGGCTTTTACCTAGCAGCAAGCAACTGTTCCAACAAACAAGAACAAACAAAGCAAAAAGCCAGAACAAAAACACAGCAGGGCCCCAAGTCTGAGGCATACTTTGAGGCTCAGAATCACGATGTTAGAGCTGGAAGAGAGCTGTTACAAGGTGAATGGTGTCTCCCCACAATTCATAAGTTCTAACCCCCAGTACCTCTGAATGTGACCTTACTTGAAAATAGGGTTGTTGAAGATATAATTGTTTAAGATGAGGTCACACTGGAGTAGGGTGGGCACCTAATCCAATGTGACTGGTGTCCTTATGAAAAAAGGGCAACTTAGACACAGATATGCATACGGGGAGCACTCTGTGGGAAGATGAAGACAGTCATCTACAGGTCAAGGGTGGGGGGGCTGGACCAGGTTCTCCCCCACAGCCCCCAGGAGGAACCAACCCCACCAACCCATTCATTTCAGATTTCTAGCCTCGAGAACTGAGACAATGAGTTTCTGTTGTTTAAACCACTCAGTTTGTAGTACTTTGTCATGGCAGCCCCAGCAAACTAATACAGGAGCTTAGGGTCCATCCAATGGTAGGAATTTCCTGGAAGACTCCCTGACAGAGGCCGTCAGCGCCCTCTCAACATCTCCCATCACAGGAAGTGCACGGCCACATGACCCTTGGTGCACGGACCTTGTGCACGGACCTTGGTCCCTGACAAGCAAATCTAACACTTACTTGCTGGGGGCACCAGCATAACTGAGGCACCAGAAACACAAGAAAATTAACAAACATCTAGGATTTTGCAACCAGAAAATCTAAAAAGAAGCTATTTTGGTTTTTGAATGCATGTAAATTGTGAGTTCTATGGTTTGGAGGAGGGGGTGTAGCGTAATTTTATTAGTGTTGGCAGGGGATGGGATCTAAAATGTCTTAACTGGCTAGTTCTTGAAAAAAAGACTAGAAGGAAAAAAAGACCAGTGTTAAATAGAGATTCTCTGGGAGTAAAATTGGAGTGGAAAGTTATTACTGCTTTCTTCTGTTTTGTATCTGTATTTTCTATTTTATATAATGAATATGTGTTGTTTGTGAATCTAAGGAAATGAAAGGACATTCGCCTTATTATTGAGGTGAGTCTCACTCTGTCAGTTAAAGCTGCAACCTGCTGGTCCTAAGTCTGGAGTGTCATCCAAGACCCTGAACTTGCCCTGCATCTCACAAACAGGCAAGGCAAAAGGAAAAGGAAAGAATCTAATTCTCTTCACCTTTCTGCTAGAATTTTTCTGAAAAATATAATTGCCACATAGTACAAGAAACATGACTGCCTTAGTATGACATGCTAATTTTTCTCTTAAGATTTAATTTTTTTTAAGAGCAGTTTTAGGTTCACAACAAAATTGGGAGAAAAGGTCCAGAGATGTCCCCTATACTGCCTGTCCCCACACATGTACATGTCCTCATTACAGCATCCCCACCAGAGGGCACATTGGTTACAATCAATGAACCTGCATTGACACACCATAATCACCCGAAGTCCATAGTTTACATTAGGGCTCACTCTTGGGGTTGGACAGTCTGTGGATTTGGGCAAATGTATATGACATGTATCCACCATTCTAGTATCACACAGAGTATTTCATTGCCCTAAAAACGCCTCTGTGTCCCACCTATTTATTCCTTCCCGCCCCACCTCCTAGCAACCACTGATCTTTGACTGGCTCCATAGTTTTGCTTTTTCCAGGATATCCTAGAGTTGGAGTCTGACAAGCTGTCTTCCAAAGTGGCTGTCCCACTCCGCATTCCCACCAGCGATGAGTGAGAGTTCCTGTGGCTCCACGTCCTTGTCGGAACTTGGTGTTGTCAGGGTCTCGATTTTGGCTGTTCTAATAGGTGTGCAGTGGTGTCTCACTGTTATTTTAACTTGCAATTCCCTGATGACACATGATGTGGAGCACCTTTTCATATGTTTATTTGCCACCTGTGTATCTTCTAGGGCAGGGGTCGGCAAACTGTGGCTCGCGAGCCACACGAGGCTCTCTGGGTACGTTCCGTCTCAAAAGTTTGCCGACCCCTGGAAGAGCCAATCCTGTCCCTCACAATAATTTAAAAATTACTCAAGAGCCATAAAACAAATGAAATCACCATTATGTGAATAATATCCTTTAAACATTTTATAAATGAAACTATGATAGTTTTATTTTCACTTTCAATTTTACTTCAGGCCACATATATATACCCAAAGAGCCACATGTGGCTCGCGAGCCACGGTTTGCTAACCCCTGGTGGCTCTTCCATCTCAAAAGTTTGCCAACCCCTTTAGGGTGACGTATCTCTTAAGATCTTTGGCCCATTTTCCAATTGGGTTGTTTGTGTTCTTCTTGTCGAGTGTTAAGACTTCTTTGTGTATTTTGGAAAACTGTCCTTTCTCAGAGGTGTCTCCTGCAAACATTTTCTCCCAGTCTGTGGCTTGTCTTCTCTTGAGACATGCTAATTTTGAAACCCAACATTTATAACCATTTTCTTAATTCAGTGAATGCTGCTTAACTCCAGGTCTGTCACTTCCCCAGTTCCTGACGCATAGTAAGGGCTCAATAATTATTAAATTGGATGTAAATATGGGATTGAAAATTGTGCCAGTCCAAGAACAGGCTTGAATCACTCCTTTCTGGAGAGAAAGTTCATGGAAGAGAATCAGTTACCCCAGTGAAGATTTTGAAAAAGCAGGAGATTTATATTAACGTGGGTAGATATTAATAGACTAGAATAGAATAAACACCAGCTGAGTGTTCATTAGCTCATTCTAATCAATGCTGGGCTTGGTTCTTGGGGACCTACCCACTTGATACTTTCTGAATCTACCTTATTTTTTTTTTAAGGGATGACTGCAGGTAGCCTGGGGAAATTAGCTGTGGCAAGGGGACTGCCAACCTGCAGGAAGTCAGCATAAGAGAGGGGCTAAAATTCTAGAATCTCATTTTAGAAGGTCAGGCACAACCTTCCTTTCTGTCTTTGTCATAGAAATATGAAGTGCACTTTGTAAAAAATACAGTCAATAAAAGCTCACTTATATTTGAATCATGTAACTTACCTCATTGACGAGAACTGATTCAAAATACTGGGAGGCAGTGCTGAGAGCAAGCTTTAACCATATTTTATATTCCAGGGATGGCCAGAAGATATCGAAGCCTTCATATAAATCCTCCAGGGAGATAAAACAGGCCTGAAATCACAAATTACCACGCGGCAAGCTTGACCCGGAACTAAATTATAAGACAATCAGGAAACAAGATGCCTGCATATTTAATCTTCATCCAACCTCTTAGGAAAACTGACTATCAAGTCTAATATAATTACAATACTGTGCCATTGAAAAGCATTGTGTTGTTGGAGCAGTTGTTTGCTATGTATAAGATAATACAATTTACAGTCCAATGAAAGCGATAGGCTTAGGAAGAGTCCAGGGAAATCCATACCAGTCAATAGCTATGATAACGCATATGGCTTATGAGCCCAGGATTCGGGAACCAAGCCACATACACTTACCTATTTTTACTGACACAGTAGGTGAAGTGGGGCTCATGTATAGTATTGGTTTCCAGAGGCAAGCTGCTTAACTGAATGCTTTCAGAGTTCAAACTAAATGAGCGTCCGTGAATTAAACTCAGCCTTGTGGCTGAATTCATGCCTTCTGTCCTCTTCCAGAAATGAAATGGCATGAAACGGATAAAGCGACATCCCTTCTGTTCCACACACCACTAAGACTGTTCCCTGCTCTCTTTTGTCTAAACATCCCAAAAGCTGGAGAAGTCTTTGTAAGCAGGAACGGTGGCTCATTTCTATTGGGATCCCCCATAGCTGGTGGAATATCATGCCACTTACTTGTTGAAAAGATAACTTCTTACTTAGCAAGTGCAAAGTGGAAGAAAGGGAATTTAAAAACAAGTATTCTTTCAAAAGACTGCTTTCATAATGATGGCCATTTATAGGGCACCTACATATGCCAGGCACCGGCCATAGGTATTTTCCTAATCTTCATAGCACCCAAAGTTAGATATTCTCTCTTTTAAGGTTAAAAATATCTTGCTGCAGATCTCTCACCAAGGATGTGCGACACTAAATCTGCCCTCTCGGCTGGTGGGGTGACTGACTGAATAAGCGATCAGAATCCCGAGGAAGAAAACATGCTGGCATTCCTTATTTACTTATGGAAGCATTAACTAATAACCCACAATACTGACGGAACCAGTGCCTCACCTGTAAAATGGTTTCACAGGTGGCGGTATATTCACTTTCACGTTTAAGCAGACAGCTCAACTCTCCAATTATGTCCCCACAAGTATAGTAGTCTGTGAAGTTGGTAATGGATTCTCTGTCAGCCCTGAGGCTTCTGTCTATCCCAAAGGTAGGAGGCGAACCATGCACCTGCAGAGGGACAAACAAACGTGTGCAAAGGGAAATCCACAATTAAAAACCCTTGACCAAGCCAGAGGCGCTTCCCCTTTCTTGCAATGATTACAATGGAAGGAAAAGGTTCATTAAGAGTCCACTCCGGTGTAAATTAGGCTCAATAAAAATCATGGTTTCTTTCACATTTCAACTCTCCACGGCAAGGAATGTTTTCAATCTTTAGCTTTAGAGATGGCCCATATTTACAGCTTCCTACTTATACCATCCTTAAAAATCCCAGCAAAAGTCGTCATTGTAATCTGCAACTAAGATAATCTCCCTCTCTGAGTTTATTAGATATTCTTACCATAATGAGCCAGTCATGCCTCGGGTGAAAAGTAAAACAAAAGACTTGTGATTACATGGATACATAAATCAGACATCCTGAACTAACATGCCTCCAAACTAAGCCACGATTTCAGTAAAAGCCTTGTCTCCCTTTAAGGTACTTAAGAATAGTTACCACGAGACAGCAACAGAAAACGTTTTCAGGGTGGACCCATGATGGTTGAGTTCCTTCGGGAACAGAACTGGTTAGGCATGGGTAGGGGAAGAAGAAAGGTAACAGGGAGCTGCAGAAATCAACCAGAAGGATAACAGGATTTCCCAGGAAGTGTAGCTGTAAACACCAAAGAGGGAAGCTATTGTTCAAGACACAGGGAACAGAACAAAGGGTCACTGAAGAAGTTGCTGTGCAAGTGCTCCCTCTCCTCGTGATTACTATTCAGAGTTTTAGGGGCTTTCATGCTTCCAAAGGACTTGGACATTTTTAAATTTAATTTTGAAGGCAGTTCAAAGGCCCTTTGGGCAATGAAGAAGGTCTCTCTGCTTTTTATAAACAAGTTACGAAGACAGCATCCGTGGGAGGCAGAGTTCGAAGGAAGGCCTTCCAAAATTCCTATCTCTTTGTTACTCGGTCACCCACTAGTCTAGGTACAGCTGTGAAGGGGTTTTGCAGATGGAATTTAAGATTCCCAGTCGGCTAATCTTAAAGAGATGATTCTGGATTATCCTGGTGGTCCCCGTGGAATCACATGAACCCTCAATAGTAGAAAAGGGCATAGAGTCAGTTAGAAAGATGCCACGTTGTGAGGACTGAATGTGCCTTGGCTCTGAGATGTGAGTGCCTCCGTGCAAGGACCAAAGAGGACCTTTAGGAGCTGAAGGTGGGTCCCAAGTGACGTCCGTCCTAAAGCTGGAAGGACCTGGATTCTACCAACAACTTCAATGAGCGTAGAAATGGTTTCCATCCCCAGAGTTTCTAGAAGGGAACACTGCCCTACTGACACTTTGTGAGACTCAGGCAGAGAAACTAGCAAAGTCCATAGGACTTCCAAACCCAGAGCTGTGAGGTGATACATCTCAGCTGCTAAATTTCTGGCAATTTGTTATGGCGTTTACAGAGCACTAATATAACACTTTCAGCTGAAATATCATTGGACTTACGTTTTAAGAAGCCTTCGTAGTCCAGTCATCACAGCAAAATTCTCCAAAGGAACACGTATGTGGCAGTTTTCAAGCATTTGAATTGACATACTTAATAAATACTGGTAGTGGCACATTTTTGTTATGCTTCTAATGGGAACATAGCACAGTGGCTCAGCACATGGATTCTCATGGAAGCAGCACAAAATAATGGCTAAGAGCATGGGCGCTGGAGGCAGACCCCGTGGGGTCAGAGCCCTCCTTCACCTCTCACTGTGGGCCCTCATGGGACAAGGGAATTGATTTCTCTGTGCATCAGTTTTCTCAGGTGCAAAGGAAGGTTGTTTCAGGGATTAAATGTCATAACGTGTTGCCATTCTTGCCACCCTTGTAAAAATTACGACCAATCTCTCCACATCTCCATCACCTCTAACATGCTATTTATTTAACTGATTTATTTTGTTCATAGTCCCATCTCCTTCTATGCCTCTATTAGAAAGTAAACTGTAGGAAAACAGGGGTTTTTGTCTACTTTGTCAATTCCATGTCTAGAGTGAACGGTGCCTGTTGCATGGCAGTAATTAAGTATTTGTTGAACGAATGGATGAAGAGTGCCAGACACTTAATAGGTGCTCTACATATGTTAGAGCATTGTATGTCTATTAATATATTAATAGTTTCTTTTCATAATCAATTTTGGTATTATTTGTTTATTTTAATCAAAGTTTATTGGGGTGACAATTGTTAGTAAAGTTACATAGGTTTCAGGGATACAATTCTGTAATACATCAATGTTGGTGTTTTCAAGGTCTGAAATACTCATTCCAAAAAATAGAAAGCCAAATATATTATTTGCATTATTAATAGAATAAGGGTTTGTCACTTGTAACCGTCAAGGATCTGGGAGTTCTTTGGGTCAGAACTGGGGTCACCCATGTATTCAGTTACTGGCACTTGGATTCTAAAGAATTCCTGCCCCTATCACCCTACTGACATCTTTCTCTCTTTCTCTGGTCACCAAAAGCCTCCTATCGGTCAGATAAAAAGTTTTATTTTGTTATTCTCATCCTATTTGTCTTCTGAGAGGATGTGACATTGTGATCTGTTCCCTCATTCTTGACTCTCATTTTCTTTAGGTGAGTGCCTCAGCCACTCCAAGTATCGGGCTCCTTAACCGAACATCACGGAAGAGACTGCTTCCTCCCATGGCTGCTGTGAGGGCTGAGTGATGGCTATGAAAGCGTTTTGTAAAATGGAAATACCTTTCAGATGTTAGGTACTATCATCACCTCTCTGCAGTAGTGTTTATTCTGAACAGAAATGGTTTCATTTGGAGAAGAGCTTCTGTTAAAAATTTGAAACTTTCTAGGTTCCTAATTTTCTCCTTATGTTATAGTCACATATTTCAAAATACATTTTCAGCAAAGAATAAATAGTTCCTTACAATTGCCATTCCTGAAATAATTAAGTAGATTCCTTGTGGCATTTCACCTTCATTACAAATGATTTCTCCATAGTCAAAATAGGCAATTTTAGCTCTTTCCTGAAAAAGAAAAAAAAACACAAGAAAAGAAAAAGTCAACATAAAAGCTTCACAGTCTACTTTTCTAAATGGAAATCAGACTTTAAAGGGAAAATGGCTTTCAGGTAGCATAAAAACAGAAACTATATTCTGAGGTTTGTTAATGAATCATAACCTGCTGACATACCTCATTAACCTGTAGGAAGGGAGAGAAGCAAGCAAGCTGTAGGCTGTGTGGTTAGTACCCAGTGACTGATAGAAACACCTGATAAATGATAGGTTGGGCGGATGTTTACAATAAACTGATAATTCTGACAAAGGAGACAGGGACCAGATATTCTGGGAAAATCCAGAAAAGTCACAGGACTGTGTCTTGGGTGTCAAGGAAAGACTTTACAGAGGAAATAACAGCTGAGCCAAGGCCAGAAGGAAGAGTAACAGGCAGACACAGGACGATGAGCTGATGTGGCTGTGAGGAGGAGGAAAGCTGATAGGCCGGGCCGTAGAGGGTAGTTTGGAAAAGCGATCTCAGGGATGGCATGAAGAAAACACCAGTATGGCACAAGAGGAACCAGATTTCACAGCTCAGTAGAACCTGACTTTGATTGCTGTCTTTCTAAAAAACAAGGAAAATGTCCTTATGGTCAAACAGATGCCTTAGATATCTACATGCCTGCATCACAAGGTCTAATACAACCAAATGTATGATAAAGCAACTGACAGTCTTTGTCACAGTTGTCCTGATTCTAAACATCTAACAAGTTTTAACAGGTTGATGAAAAAGTTGTAAACCTTATAATTCATACAATAGCCCTTTAATACTAAAGCCACAGACTGGTGGTCCATGGGTCACTCAGGCCACAGATATATTTTGTTTGGCCTACACAGTATTTTTCAATTTTCACATTGCTTGCCAAATGTTAAACATTTGGAAATGTCACTTAAAAATTCAGATTGATGGCTTCTCTTTAAAAAAAAAAATCTGACCGCTACATTGTTAAATCTAAGTCAATTTTCAGTCTTTATCTTATGTGATTTCTTAGCTTCATTTGACATAGTTGATCACTTTCTCCTTTTTGAAACACTTTCTTTACTTGGCTTCTGGGACACCACTCTAAGTTTTCCTCCTACCTGAAGGGGTTATTCCTTAGTCCTTTTGCCCCCAGTTTCATTAAGATATCATTGACATACAGCACTATATAAGTTTAAGATATACAGCATAATGACTTGACACACATATTGCAAAACAATCATTACAATAAGTTTAGTGAACATCCATCACATCATACAGGTACAAAAAAATTTTTTCCTTGTGATGAGAACTTTTAGGATCAACTCTCTTAGCAACTTTCACATACACCACACAGCAGTGTTAACTATTCTGCATTACATCCCCAGGACTTATTTATCTTATAACTTGGAAGTTTGTACCTTTTGTCCACCTTTCTCCAACTCCCCTGGCCTCCACCTCCCACCCCGACCCTCCGCCTCTAGTAACCACAAATCTGATCTCCTTTTCTATCCTCAATTCTTTTTGCTAATTCTTCTCGACCTCTAAATGTTGGATAACCCAGGACTCAATTTTTGGATGTCCATAATAATTCCTTAAGTTATCTCATCAAGTCTCAAGACCTTCAATATTACGTTTATGCTGATAACTCCAAAATGTCTATCTCCAATTTGGCTTCCTACCTGAGGTCCAGTCACATACCCAACTGCCGACTCAACATCTCCACTTGGATGTCTAACAGCTTTCTCAAATTTAACCTACTTAGAATCAGACTCTTGCCCAGCTATATGAATGTTGTCTTCCTTATCTAAGCAAGTGGTAACTCCATGCTATTTTCAGACTAATATCCTAGAAGTCATGCTTTCTCTAACACTCGCTCCGTCAGCATCCATCAGCTCTCTCTGCAAAATATATGAAGAGTCTCACCACTTCTCACCACTTGGACAAGTCCAAACCACCATTATCTCTCGCCTCCCTTATTATAATTGCCTTCTAACTGGTCTCCCTGACTTGCCTTTGTTCCCTTACAGCCTATTCTCAACATAGCACCAGGTGGCCATTTTTAAACGTAAGTGAGATCGTGTCACTTCTCTGTTCCAAACCTTCCAGTCAGTTTCTATTGAATTCCCAGAAATAGCCCAAGTCCTTACAATGGCCTACAAAATCGACCAACGGAGGCTCTCTACAGCTGTTCCCATGTCATCTCCTGCCTCCATCACCGCTCCTGTAACAGGGACCTCTGTGATGTCCCTTGAACATAGCAAGCACATGCCACCTCAGTCATTGCACCTGCCTGGAATGTTCTCTCAGACATGTCTATGGCCTTCTTTCAGATCTATTTTCAAATGTCACCTTATAGAGCAGCCTTCCCCAACCACTTCATATAGAATAGCTACCTAACCTTATTCTCTTTCTCACCTGTTCTCCAGAGCATTCATCACCATCTGACAGGCTATCTATTTATGTGTTGGCATGCTTATTGTCCATCTCCATCCATATACTATAAAGTCCATGAAAACATATCACTGCCATGTCCCCACACCTAGAACGGTCTCTGGCACATAGAAGATATTCAATGAATATTTGCTGAAAGAGCCCAGATTCCTATAGCAACACTCAGCCAGCTTTAGACTGAGTGTGAATTCTTATATGTGCCACAGTCCTCGCGGTTCCCCATTATATTACACCGACCCGGTTTTACTTTTATATTATTTGCCCGGCCTGTAGAGTAATTTAAATATGAGACCCTTGCTCTAAAAATAGCCTTTCCTAGAGTGTGCATCTGGAAGTCCAGAATTCTACAGCATAAAGTAAGATAGGACTGATTGGTAACAATCAGGTAATATAGATAGTTCATACTAGGCTGATACGCCATTGTGAAAAACTATCCCTTCCCTTTAGGCTCAAAATAAAATCTACTTTTCTGGGTTTTGCTGGGCCTCTGTTTTGAATTACCCTTTGCTGGCCATTACAGGATTCTTGATTTGGGCATTTGTTGTTGTTGTTGTTGTTGTTCATCTTGCATTAGGGAGTGGAAAAAATGGAAAATAATTATCATCAAACCTGAGCGAGAATAGAAGACAGAAACTTTACCTTGAAGAACGCAATGAAAACATCTTTGTTTTGCAGCCAAACAATATTATGAAGATATTTGTCAGGAGTAGGGGGTGGGATTCCCATTGGAAAGTTATTCAGTGCTTTCATTTTTGCAAGAAGTACCTAAAAATAATGAATCAGAATAATAGTGATCAGCCTATAACAGAAAAAGAATATTAGGTAAAAACTTTGGAAATCTAAATGAACTACTGCACACAAACTTAACCTTGACTACTGACTCCAAGCTTCTGTCACCCTGTTTAAATTATCCTGTAATCTTTTTTGTCCCTATTCTCCCTTTATTACTATTTTCACTTATGTATTATCTCATCTTCAATTTATCATCTTTATAATCCAGTTGACACTTATATTCTACCCTGCCTTAATCTCAAATTATCCAAAATTCACAGGTAATTACAATATGATTTAATGCCACGTCTTCTCAATTTCTTTTCACATGTATGATTGGCTTTTCTAAACCCTTCTAATTTGGGAGGATACAATTTCAGCTTTGTGGACTCAGAAGCCTCTGGCTTCTCCCACCAGGTAAGAGATAATCATTTATCTGCCTTATCCCCATGTCATCTCCTACAGGTATGCCTTATGGAACTCATGGCCTTGTAGTGTCATTATTTTTACTTATGTGTCTCTCTCCATATTATGTAACTTTTGTTGATTGGATGAATAAATGACTAAATGAAAGAATGAGGACGAGCCCATGGACTTGGAGTCAATGTTGTATTCATTAATTATCCTACTCTCAAGAGTCCATACCACATAGTAAGTATCCAGCGCATATTTTCTTAGTTAAATTAAATAGATTTACCTAGCTCTATAAGACCTGGGATTGATAATTATATCTCTTTGGCTGACAATTAAACAATTAATAGGCATTCAATTAGTAACTATTGAATGATTGTTTACCCATTACCTTTGTAAACAAACCTATAGGAAAAAATAAGTCTCTCTCCTCAAAAGGGCTATTATGTATTTATTTTAATTAATGGGCATCCAGCATTCGATTGAATCTTACAGGGCCTTCAAAGTGATAGATGGAAAAAAAATACAAAACACAATGTGTGTAGAGGTAGAGCTTGAAGAACACTCTAAAGCGGCCCTTCTCTTCCCTCTCACACACACGGAGGAGAAATCACATTACCCATTTAGTCCCCTGCCATGATGTTATGGAGACCAAAGAGATACAGCCATAAAGGGGCAAGTTGGCCTGTCCGATACCCACTTCCTTTCTGGGGCTATCGAGGGGGGACTATGTCCAGGGAGTGTCCACAAGCCCAGTGCATGGTGGCCTATGGCTGGGAGTGGCCAGTGACAAGGAAAAGCATGTGACATCCAGGAGCAGCTTATCAGTGAGTAACACAGACAGAATGTAGGACCAGCAATTCCATTTTTGTGCCTTATGCTAAGAAGCAGATAGACCCTTGTACAGGATGAAAAGAACATTGTTAGTTACACACACAGTCTAGATGGTAAATGTGATAGAGTGGTAGGATTAAATATTAAATATTAAACAATTTTTTCTTCTGGCTTATGTTCCTAATTTTTTTTTTCAAATACATTTATAACTTTTCAAAAGTCCATTTATCAGCTAACTGATTAGGGTGTCTTCCCTACTCTTCTCTTCTCAGAAATGCCTTCTCCCTCTCCCACCCCCCAACACACACACACACACACACACACACTGGTCCCCTCCCTACCATGTTAACATCATGTGACTCCCACCTCCCTTGCCACAGCTATTGGGACTGGGCAGCATATCCCACTACTCGATAGAGAAGCAAAATAAAAATCTAGTGAGTTTGCAGACAGAGCCAAAAGAAGATACCACAGAAGGCAAGCCTGATAGAAACTGAAGAATCTGAAAAAAACCTGGGTTCTTGTTCAAGTAGCTTCCCGAGGCCTGGCCACAGTCTGGCAACCATGGGTTCTGTAAGGTACTCTGTGTCCATATAATAAATCTTCCAACCTCATTTCTCTGCTAAATCAAGACCAGGCTAGCTTCTGTTACTAACCAAGAACAAAGTTTGGCACAGAAGACACCAGGTAGCATGGGCACTGGTTGCCACTGGCGTTGACAAAGGCTGTAGGGGAACTAGACTTGACATTGAGGTTAATCACTCATTTTTCAGTCTCTTGACATTGAGGTTAATCACTCTTTTTTTTTTTATTGTTAGTTTCAGGTGTACCAGTCTCCTCCACTCATTATACTCTGGCCCTGAGAAGCCAGGCTTGTGGAATCAAGCAATAGGGGAAGTTGCATTGTACCTTATTCATCTCGATGCCCTCATGGTCATCAATAATGCCTCTTGACCAAAGGAAGTTCAGGTTTTTCAGAGCCTTAGCAATCACGTTCTGGATTGCCTGCTTGGTCTTCAAGGCAATGACAACATCACGACCTCTGTGCTCGATGTGTCCTGAATGAATAAAGCTATCAGCAAGCAAGCAAAACAATAACCATGACGATAACAAATATTTGTATAATACTTTGTAATTTCCAAAGTATTTACACAATGTCCTGTTTCATATGGGATGTGTGAGGCTAGTAGGACCAGTTATTTTTATCTCCATCCTTTGGATGAGAAAAGTGAAGGCTGGCTTCTCCCACCAGCTGGGCGAGAGTCACTCTCTCTGCCATCTTCCTATGGCGCTCCTACCAATCTCCGTCATGGAACTCACGACATTGCAGTATCATTATTTGCACTTGTCTCATCCTCCATCTTAGACATTTTTTGTTGCATAGATGAATAAATGACTTAAATGAAAGAGCCCCTGGACTTTGGCTGGGGGGTCTTTCTGAGATCAAATCCCATATTTTTTCCTCCTTCAGGAACAGGAGAGGTCATGGACGGGACTGGGAGTCAAGGCTAAAACTGCGTCTGCTTCCTCTTCGTAACCCCAACACTGCGTACAACACCTGGCATCTGGAAGGTATTCAATCATTTTTTTAACTGAAATGAGATGACCAGTCAATTGAAAGTGACCATGATCAAGAGCATAGATTTTAGTGTCAGACACACCTAGGCTTGAGATCTGTCTGGCTCACCCCTTGCTAGCCATACGACCTCAGGTGAGTTAGCCTTTCTGAGCCTCGGCTGCCTCATCTCTAAATGAAGGTGATAATAGGATTTGCCTCAGAGTAATTATAAGCATTAAATTATATAACGCACAGAAAGCTGTTAGCACAGCTCCTGACATAATCAGTATTATCAGTTGCAGTAGCCATATGGAAACAACAGCCGCTCCCTTTCAGAGGACTGAATCAAGAAAACTTGGTAATATTCCACACTAATCTGAGGTCATATAAGAAAGCAGCTCCTAGGCCCCTAATCTTTAAGAGCACAGAAATAAAAATCCGCCTGTGGGTGAATGACAACAATGGTTCCTGGGCTTTCTGAGACAGTGCCAAAATATTCTGACCGATTGTCTCCAAAGCGAAAATGTCACTCATGAGGCCGTGTTCTTTCTATTTTGATTTGGAAAATATGATCCACATAAATCCATATGGCATCTTATAATGTGGTTATGAATGCAAAGTGGCTCTTCTTCATTTCACTTATAATAATTTCTGTTTTATTAAGGATCCACAGTACTCCAGGCTCTCTACCAGATACTTTTCATGCCTGAATGCCTGGCCCACAGCCCCCTCGTGAGGAAACCAGACCCAGGAAGCTTCGTCTAAAACCCTAAGGCTCCTGCTGTGTGCTAAACTCAAGCAGAGTGACTACAGGCGCTCAAGAAATGACACCCCTTTGCAGCCCCACACTCCTGAGTGTCCTTGCAAACCAAGTAAAACAAAACCAAACCCAAAACATCCTTTGGGAATCTTCGCGCGTCTTTTTCTTACAACCTTAAGGAATGTGATCCTGCCACCTTCATGCACTTTCCACACACCTCATTCCTTCCCCTGGGATTCCACAGAAATAATGGAATTCCTCTAACTGTCTGGAGTTATCTACTGATTAGCTCATACCTTCCACCAGGCTTGCGCATACCTTCCCGTTACATGTATTTAATAAAATGCTTGTTGGACGAATAAATGAAAGGATGAGTAATTGAATGAAAGCATGAACTTGTCTTTGTTTGGTTAAATTATGAGATGGTGGGTCTTGGAGCAAATTAAACCTGAAACATCGCTAGAGGCAAAAATGACAAACCTGAAACTAGCTTTGGGCACAGCATGAGAAGGCAGCATCTTTGGGAAAGACAATAATGCTGGGGAAAAGAGAAGGCAGCAGGAGACGAGGAAGACCAAATAAATATGAGATGGATTGACTCCATTAAAAAAGCCATAGCCAGGGCCTGCCAAGTGGCTCAGTTGGTTAAGAGCTTGCTCAAGGGTGCGAGTTCTGAGCAACAGCGTTTGGAGTCCCGGCCCAAGCTGAGCAGCCACTGAGCTACCAACAGGTGGCAGGATGGCTCAGCTTAAAAAAAACCAAAAAACATAACCTTGAGTCCAGAACTGAGCAGGGCTGCTAAGGATGGGGCATCGTGGTTGTCACTCATTCATAGAGTCACCAGGAGTCGGAGCTGACTCAACAGCACATAACATACACACACACAAGGCGTAATTTCAGGGAACCAGATATTCCAGTGACTTACCTAGTTCTTTGACAGCATCTCGTTTGTTGATTTCCAAAATTTTATATAATTTCTGTGAGAAGAAAAAACATTTATTACACCAAGTGCACTTCTGTCTTTGAAATCCGAGGGAAAAATAAGTGCAGTAGTGGAAATTTCACTTAGTTTATGATTTGGGGAGATATTTGGTTCAAGTCTCCCCTCCGTTTCATTGTGCTGCTCTCTCCAGGCTCTCACTCATGTTACAATGAATATCGTACAGTCAGTACCTCACGTAACGATTGTGTCTAAGGCTCCTCAGAAAGCACAGTGTGCGCCCCACTGAGCACCAAGGACGATTCTCATAGATGGAGCCCCACCAGGGGGAGCCAGTCTACTGGGAGCACAAAGACAGTGGACTAATGAGAAAATATGGCGTCAGTTCACGTTTCCTACTGATAATGCCTGACACAACTGAAGAAACAGCTCCATTTCAGGCTCTTCATGGGAATTAATCTCTAGCTTTGAGTCTTTCAGGGGTTTGCACTTGGTGACACCAACAGCCCTGGGGCCAAACAATGACAGTTCCTAGGACCATCAGGTACAGGTGATTGAAATTCTGCACCCAAATAATGGCATGGCATAGTGCTATGTACAGGGAACAACTGGTGTTTTATCCAAAGTTTAAGCAGTTTTTGGTTTAGAAAAATCATATGTAATAAGTCCCTCATTTTGAATATCAGAGCTCACTTATTAAATTGTTTCTTCTCACTCAATAACATTGAGTCAATATTGGGAAGGTGTCCAATTATTAGCCTGCCCACAGCACCCACATATCATGGTCCAACCCTGCTTGCCTAGCTGCATAGATAGCAGCTAAGCCCCCTTCATACCAAACTGGACCCACAGCAAACCCTGTAAAACTGCTGTAGAACGACCTGCACAAGACAGCGTAGGAACCGACTTCTGACTACAAGGGGAATATAATTGTGAAAGCCTGGACATATATGTGACTTGTCTAAAAGTGAGCTGCCACTGGCCAGTTTCGTGAATCATCCATGACACTTTCAGAATAAACACCAGTTTGATATCTAAACATATTTCCAAAAGCCACTTAAATCTTTATTGAAGTATCCTATAAAAAGGCCCAAGGGGAATGTGCTTCGTGTCATACACTTCGAGGCAACTACCCCCAAACCTCCAGGCTGGCTCCAAAACTCCACAAAACACATTCTTGCCACCCCCTGCCCTCCCCCCACCACACACACACACTGGCTCTTGTTTTTCTTCTCTTCTTGTTTCTGAAATATTTTTTCCTATAAATAGCTCTGTGTTCTAATATAGATCAATCTAGACTTTCCATAGGTGTTTTAATTTCCTTCTCCAAAGTTCAAAGCAAATCAGCAGGATAGAATTCTCTTGCACATTAATATTTGACCCAATATCAATGCTTCTTTGATAAATCTAAATAACATTTCTCTAGCTTATCTTCAAAGATATCATGAAAGGTGTCAGATACCTTTCTAAAATTCAACTATACTCTTCCTATAGTGTTCCCTGATGATAAAAGAAAATCTTAAATGCTGAAGACATTTAACAATATTTTTTATGTCTTTTAAAAGTTAAAAGATTAAGCTAGGTATCTTCACAGTCTCTTTATCTTTCCTGAATGTAATTAGAAAAGAGCCTCTCTTTCTTGGCTGAGAGCCTGAGATAACTAACAGTCATCATAAAAATTACCATATTTCCCCATGTATAAGACGCTCCCATGTATAAGACACACCTTAATTTTGGGGCCCGAAATTTGAAAAACAAGTATGACATAAAGTTATTGAACTCAAGTTTTATTCATCATAAAATTCATACAACTCCTCATCACTGTCAAAACTCCCAACCATTAACTTGTCCTCATCTGTGTTTGATGACGAATCACTGTCTTCATGTATTGCCTCGTCCTCAGTTCCATCTATGGCATTTGAAATCTACAACCACTGTATAAGACGCACCCAGTTTTTAGATCTCAAATTTTTTTAAAAAGGGTGCATCTTATACATGGGGAAATACAGTAAGCATCACAAACAGAAGGCATAAATCGTCCCTAGCCCATCCCTGACTTTATGACACAATCATTAGATCTCAAACTTTAGTATCTAGGGTGTAGTTTTATTGTCAAATTAAAAATCAGGAGTCTCACTTGGGCTGAGAAAATGCCCTTCAGCTTATTGATACTGTTCAATTTAGACCTTCATCTGCACATATGAAAATATAACCCAAAATCATCAAACATGGGGCAGAAAAAACAGAATGGAAGACAAGGTCCAAACTCAACAGACAAATGAACCTCAAGGAATCATAATTAGTACAAGAAACACAAATTTTTTTAAATAAAGATATTCAAGAAAATATTACATTAAAAAAAAAGCACTTGCTATGTAAAAAAAAAAAAAAAGAAGCAATCACAGTTCCTGGAGACCAAAAAGTGTCAAAAAAAGAAAAAAGAAAATTTAATAGATGGGCTGAATAGCAGAATGGACACAGCTAAAGACTCAATTAGTGACTTGGAAAATCAAGTTAAGAGGTTCTCATTGCAAAGAAGAAAGAGTTGAAAGTTATGAGAAAAATTGAAACAGACTAAATCCAGAAAATCAAAAATCTGTTTAAAATGGTTCCAAAAGCAGAAAATAGAAACAAGAGAGGAGAGGAAATAATCAAGGAAGTAATGGAAGAAGATAGCAATCTTCAGTAAAAGGCACTGCGAAGGACTGCAGGGCACACGTTTTTGTTTTGTTTTTTAATCAAACCTAGACACATCCTGGTGTAATTTCAGAACTCCAAGGATAAAGAGAAAACCCTAAAAGCCTCTAAAGAGAAAGGGGAAAAAGTCACCTACAAAAGCAAAAATAAAATCAAACGTATCAACAATGCCGAAGACAGAGGGACGATGTGTTCAAGAAAATGATTTTGGAGCATCAAACTATTACTTATGAGAGCAAAATAGATTTTTGTACCTATTAAGTCCACACATCCTATGGAAAAAATGACTATGCGCATAATCTAGCATAATAAAAAGGGAGGTGAAAGGAAGCTCATAAGGGTGGGCTGGGCAATAAAACCTAAAGGGAGAGAAAGGTGGTTAAAAAAAAAATTAATCCATTTGACTGTTTCATCTAGAAGCATCTCTTTCAAGAAGTAAATGTTTAATGACATTGGATCACATTTCCTTTGTTATGGATTGAATCAAATGATAGGTTCTACAGTAAATATTTATAAAATCATAACACAACACAAGTTGTTTTTTGGTTTTCCATGTATAGTATAGAGTCATCTGTTGAAAATAATGAAGACATTTAAACTTACAGAATAGAATGTACATGTTATAAACCTTTTCCCTGTAAAAATAATAACTCCAAAAATTTAAGATGGAGAGAAAAAGACAAGGTTAAAGGAGAGGAATGTTTTAATTTCCTTATACTTCATGACAGGGAGTACATAAAGGCTGTTTAGAAATAACAAACCAAGAATTAAATCCACATGCATATTATTAAAATTAAGAAGAATTTAACACAGGAACGGTGACTATGGAGCTGTCTCTGGGAAGGGGTGCAGTGGAGGGTTGAGAGGGGTGCCTTTCCTTCCTTCATTCTATTTTCAAGTTGTAAAATTGAAATTTCAAGTTGTCAACTTATTTTCAAGTTGTAAAATTTGTGTGATTATTTTTTACCATCTTTCCTGTGTGCTCTCCTCCCTTCATATATATATACTGTATATATGGGGGGGTGGGGAGTGCCAAAAGAATGTACACATTTTAAGAGATGTTAGCTATGTGATACTTTTCAAAGTTGAATCGAATTACGGTAGCAATGTGTAGTATGACATTTGCTCAAAAGACGGCGTTAATCAAATGAATGCTAGCATCATTCATTGTATTACAATTTTAATACAGTTCTCTCCTTTCTTAAAATGTGTATACATGTTTTTGGCACCCGCTGCATATGGAGTCAAAGACCTTACCCTCAGGCCATGCAGAGCCACTGAAATGCTCTTCAGCAGAAAATCATGCATGAAACTTAAAATAGCCCTTTAAGGAACATCCCTCTGCTAAATTGCAGAGCAGTCTGGAGTGGACAGACTGGCATGAGGCAACCTGGTTAACAAGGGATTCATTCCACCTCTGAGTTCCTAGGGAGCTTATGCCCGCCTTCCCATTTGGTCCTTATTGCATTCTGCCTGGAAATGCGGAGGGTCTTGAATGATGAAAAGTGAATAAATAAATACCACTGCTCATCCACCCCTCAGGGCCAGCATTTCAAGTTTTCACTGCCAAACCTTTGCGCTGTTTCCCTCTCTTCCTCCCCACTTCAGACCTACTACTTCCTTGAGGCCACGTTCAAATGCAAGGCCTGTTTGAACGATGCTTTTTCCAAGTGCCCTGCCTTTACAGAGTGTGACCCAGACAGATGGACTCTCTTCTCTATTCTGCACTCAAAAAATACAATAGTAGATGTTCTATGAAGATCATACATGAGATTAATAAGCAGCTGAAATCTAAAGAACACCGACTGTTCTCGGCAGCACCTCGTATAACATAATATACAATCGACTCCCCTTCACCTGCTATAATTTGTGTGTTGAGCCAAATACATGTAGAAACAGTGGGTTTTTTTGTGTTTTTGGGGGTTTTTTTTTAGAAACAGTCTTAAACGAAATGAATACACCAAAGTGATTTTCCCCAAAAAATGACGAGTGCTTGTCTCTCACCTCATAGATTGACTCTCGGCTAGAAATCTGTTGTATTAAAAATGCGGTATCCTCTTGGCTTTTGACATAGCCTTTTGTGATACTATACATCAAGCTGAGGCGTTTTTTGATCTGCGCTTCGACAATGTTTATCAGTAACGGTATTATTAACTGGAATAATGGAGAGAAGAAAAAAACCCGAAAATTTGATGAGGAAAAGTACCATCTAAGGCAGAGTTTTCAAAGTGTTGCCTCCAGACCAGCAATGGCATCACCCAAAGGCTTGTTAGAAGCACAAATTCCGCGGCCCCACTCCAGACCTGCTGAACAAGGAACTGTGGGGGTGGGGCCCAGAACCGGTGTTTTAGCAAGTCCTCCAGGTGATTCTTTGTGCATTCAAGTTTCAGAGCCACTCTCTAAAGAAATGGAAGCTCAGTATCTGTAAGGGGAACTTCCTACCACTGCCTTTCCCCCCACTCTCCTTACCCCAGATTTTAGGAGACAAGAGTGGTGGTGCCATAGCCTGGGTGATAGTTACCAATGAAATAAATCATCTCTCTGCACCTCAGTTTCTTCGCTTGTAAGATAAGAAACTTAGGGTATCTAAGATCTTTCTTACCTCGAAGTTTCTCGAACCCTACGCTGAGGCAGGAGATTGTAGTGACTGAAGAGAATGGGATTTTAAATACAAATCTTCCTGAGTTCAAATACCAACCCTCCTGCTATCTCTGTGACCTTGAACCTGTTACTCAGTGACTTTAAGGACTCAGCGACCTCATGTGTTAAGCGAGGGCATGAATACCTACCAAGTACCAGAATCCCAATGGACCTGCTCCTCATAAGCAGTGCCATCAGCCACAGAGACAGAGTCACGTCAGAGCACGTGGCAGACGGTGAGGGACCAGGTGACAAAGGAGGACAACGTAAACAGGAAAAGATCATAGCAAAGGAGTTACAAGAGCAAAGAAAGGGGAAGGTTTTTTTGTTTGGTTGGTTGGGTTTTCTTCTTGTTGTTGTTGCTGCTATCTTGGTTGTAAGCTTTGGGCAGAGGAAGAAATATTAAAGTAGATTTTATTTTTTTAACTTTATTGGGAAACAGTGTGTTTTTCCAGGACCCATCAGCTCCAAGTCAAGTCCTTGTTTTCAATCTAGTTGTAGAGGGTGCAGCTCACTGGGCCATGTGGGAATCGAACCAGCAACCTTGGTGTTATGAGCCTGCTCTCTAACCACCTGGGCTAACCAGCTGCCCTAAAGAAGATTTTTACAAGTTTTATTCCATGATGCACTGACACCCGCCTTGAGCTGGATCCTAAGAGGATCTAAACTAAAAATCTCCAATACTTTTCCAAGCTCTCCAAAGCACCTAGCTTGACATAGTAGTGACATCTACTTCAGAAAGCTAATTATAATGATTTAATTAGCTAATGTACTATGATCCTGGAACATAGTAAGTGCTCCATAAAATAAGCTAATCATGCCTGTATTAAGTAATTATATTAATTCCTGAAATAACTTCGCTGAGATTTGTCAGAGTGTGCTGGACAGAAGTGGTAACTGGTTCACACTCTAAATCGAGTTGACTTCCACAATAATACATCTTTATTTTATTTTATTTTATTTTAATAATACATCTTTAAATCTTTCTTTCACTCAGAGAGACTTTTCACAAAGTTCTGCTTCTAAAATAATTATTTTCCATTCATCTGCATAAGATCTCTTTACAAAACCTGATTACCTAAGGAAGCTTCTACCTTCCATTTTAAAACCTCGCTTCATACTATGCATTTCTGATTTCTAGAGTAGTTTGTATTATGGCGGGGTTATCTCTTATGTGAGCACATAGCTCTAATCTCAGCTCATCAGGCAAACATTATAAGTAATCAAAATTACCCCTTAAGCAGATTTTGCATATACACCTCTGTACAGTAGCTCTAAATTTCTTATGAACACTAAAGTTTGGTAAATTAACATAGAATCAAAGAAGGAACAAAAAAGAATGTCTACAAGCACAAGTCTGGGCATTTAAACAATTCTGCCTTTAAGATAACCATTACATTTCTTGGAGAATGGGAACTAGATGGAGGATTCTAATGTATACCTTTTACCATCAGGGTTTACAGCACCTTTCAAAAAATATTTAGCTTCTATAACTTCAATACATCCTAAGACTTATTTAATGTAATAAGAATTAAATGACTCAAAAAAAAATGGAGGGGCAAGAGAAATCATCTAAGGCTCCCAGGTTTAAAAGCTTATATATAGTCCAACTCCTTGGGAAAGAGAGAAAGGAGGCTTAAGAGCGGAGACTGAAAATCTGAAAATCTACCTCAGAATCAAAACCAGAGAGATGGAAAGAAGCAACAGTTGTTGTGAAGGTTGCAGTAACATTAACTTCCGTAGGAAGGATGCTATGTGAGTGTGGACTGTGGAGAAAATTTGTTTATGCTACCGCACAGTTAGGGGTTTATGAGCACATTTTCCTAAAACTTGGAGAACTCGTTTCTGGGCTATCCTACTTTAAGTGCAGCCAGACTTTTTATTCACTCAACAACTCTTTAGCAAGTACTTACTGTTACATATGCTATGGCACCGTTCTAGACCATAGGTTACACCAGTGATCAAAACAAAGAGACCCACCTCGCTGAGAGGGCAGACGACACACATAAGAAGGTGATAACGCTATGGGGGGAAATAAAACTTAAGCAGGGAGAGAGGGATCAAGAAGATGGAGGGGAAAGCTGAGAGTATGGAGGGCGGGATGCCATTCTACACAGGGTGAGTCAAGCAGAGACCCATAGAGAGAGTGTTCTAAAGAGAGACTGCTCCCCCCCCCCCATTCCTTTCCAAACAGTGAGGTTTCTTAACACATTTAACCAACAGTGTAGGAAAAAACCCCAATATTCAAAAATGTGAAGTTTCCTACCTTGATGAGAGGAATAAACCTAATTAGTCTGAAATATCCTACTATTACTGTAATCTGAATGAGAATCAAGTTTCCCGGTCTAAATTTGACAAAATATATACAAAAGATATCAACAATTCCAATGAGCATGATAAAAAATTCCAGAGTATTCCAATGTTGGTGAAAATACTTCCTTTTCAAAACTGTTATCTGTTTAGAAAACAAATGGAACATATGTCATTTCAAAGCACAGATACAATGATGTATCCATGGATACATCCAGAGAAGAATCTTAAAAATTAAGTTAAATCCTCAAATACAAATGAGTTTTATTCCAGAAGTTGGGTTTTAAGTTAGTCATTGGAAATTCCAATGAATTAAAAATTCTTTTTAATTTTAAACATCAAAAATCATCATCTGATTCAAAATATATAATCGACAATGTAGCTGGAATGCCAAAACTAGCCATGGAAAATAGCAGTAAACAAGCTCATTGCTATACTATTAATAATAATTAACGTATGAAAACAGGAACACTGGTAAATCATCTTTGAAGTACACAGTAATTCTCCTTTTATGATGAGGACCTAGCAAAGTAATATTTTTTTTTAAGATTTTTTTTATTGGGGAATTGGGGGAGGGGAGCAACGCTGGGGAATCGGGGGAAGGGGAACAGACAAATTGCTGTCCTTTTGTTCTTCAGTCTAGTTGTGGAGGACGCAGCTTCACTGGCCCATGTTGGTATTATCATTACGCTCTTCCGAAGGGAGGCAGATCAGTCGCTGGCCATTGGATGGCCACACACGCTGGCTGCAGGCCACTCGCGGTAGCTCACGGCAGCCCCACTGCAGCCCCACTGCAGCCCAGCTCCAGGTCAAGCCAAAGTAATTTGTTTTTATTCACTTGCTTATTTTTGGCATCATTACAGAGACTATCTGTGGGACACACCTTGTCTGGATTTCCAGGTCTCTTTACCTGATCTTTGAGGCTTCTAACTCCACTATTATGAGGATGCCTACCTTATCTGATATGCAAGACTGTGACTATTATATTGGTTTCATTTTTGAACCCAGAAAATTCAAAAAGATTACTAAATTCTAGGATTCTATCAACTGTTAGAGCAAATGGCTTTTATATCAAGTCACTTCAAAAATATGACAAAAATAAATTCACAATATCTGCATTGTTCTTTTTATAGTATACATTTCTATTTTAAACAGTACCTTCAATGCTGACACTAATACATATAAAAAGACAAAATAGTAGTTTACTAATATCAGTGACAACACATTTAATTTTCTTGCCATTGGCCATAGATGAATTATCATAGGATAAATGTACAGGAATGAGATAATATGTCCTATGTATTCAAATTCTTCTGAAAATACGACATGATGCACAAATATGAGAAATTTATTTTTCCTAAAAAAAGAGAGATCAAATAAGATGTCAGGTTACTTTAATGGTATAACAAGATGTGAAGTTCAACATTTGTTTAAACAAATCAGTCACATGAATTTGAAGAAAGTATAAATAATATAAAATAATAGATAAGCAAAAATCTAAACATACTTTCTATATATAAAAATCATAATGGAGAAAGATAGAAATATGGCTCTTGTTAATCTATATCAGGAATAGGGGGCATTTTTTTTAAATCGAGGCAATAATATGTAGGAAACAGTGCAAAGATTCATACACTGAAAGTAAGAAACAAATTTAGAGGAAAACATCAGCATTGTTTAAAATTAAAAACAGAGGAAAAAATATTCTATTCAATAATTACCATGACATATTTAAAAAAATTTTTCAATCCATCAAAAGTAGAGCCTAACAAAAAGAGGCTATCCCTAGGGTTTTCTTTTTTTATATTTCTTTTTTAAACTTAATAAATGGAAGACAGTAAAAAATTATCAAAATTTGTTATGAAAGGTATGTTAACTCCCACTTAAAATTCAGTTATTTTAACGCTCCCAGTATCTTCTCATTTTGTCATACTTGATTAGTAGAAAAACCTTGTCTTCCTTGCTCTTAAAAAGCATGTAAGTTCACAACTTATGTAACAAAGAACATACCCAAGTTAAGGAAAATCTGCATCTTGTGATACTTTGCAAAGCTGGTTATAGGTGTTATTAATGCCATGGTGTGTTTTTCCTAATTACAAACATCAACAGAGCCACCCTAGATGAAATTAAGCTGAGAACTGGATCTAATCCACAAGTTTGGTATTTCTCACCCAGCTCGGCGTTATACCCAGGAGAATATCAGAATATGGAAGCTGCCCCGTGTGTAAAATGACCCTAAGACATGGCAATTAAAACTTGAAGAATCCAAATATGACATCCACCTCGCCTTCCTGCCCACATTCTAATACAGATGTCAACGAAGCCGCTGAACAGCGGCCAAAGAGGAGCGCGCGCTTTGCTTCTTCGGCACTCAAGCAATAAGCGTTAACCATAATATCAGTTTGTTCTTGATAAGAAAAATCGAGATAATCTACTCTGACAATGTAGAAAAGGTCCTATTTTCAAACACCTTGTTATTAAAAGGTTCACAAAACTTACCAGAGTAGAGTAGGTGAGTTATCTTTATGATAGTCCAAAAAAGTTAACATGTTTTTAAACTTTATAAGCCAACTTCTAGTTCTTACGTAAGTTAAAACATCATAGATACTCATGAATCTAACAGAGAAAAATAGAGATATATGTTATAATAAAAAGCAAGTGCTACACTTGGGGGTAATATAAAATGGAACTTTATCCTAACTATAAGTGTAACGTGGGTGTATTAAGTATGCTCAGTCCTGAGCCTCTGTATCTATACACCTACCCACTCACGGTCATGATACAGGAACTTTTTAGCATGAAGCTCCTGCAGCTTCTGTTCCTGGAACCAGTCCTGACCTGAGGTAGAACATAATTAAAGCTTCTCCAGACCAATTCTTTGGGGTTTGGAATCAAGCTTCCCTTTGTCATGCCTTGCCTAGCCCAAGCCTCTCCAAAGCCCTGAAGGCCCTACCTTTCCCAAACTTTATGTAGGAACGGATGCCAGATCTCCCAGATGGATTACCAGGCTGCTGAAATGTTAGCTGTCACCCAGGTAGGATCTCCCTTCATTGCTGCCCCACCATCTGTTATCTAATGTTTGCCAGGACTGTGACCACATATCAATATATCTCTGCGATACTGAGCTTTTCCCACCAGGCTGACTTGCATCTATCAACACCATCAGGTGGGTCAATTACTCTAGAGCCTGCTCCACCCCAGGGGGTGGTCTAATCTAAAGGCAGGCTCCAGGCTTCCCCACCTCCCCTATCCAGTAATTTAGTAAATATGATATAAAGGCAAAATACTGATAAGTAATTGAAGCTATCTGGGTTCTCTTCCATAGCTCCCCTAGTCTCTTATCTAATTATACTACAGTTAGACCTTCTTCCAGAATCTCCTAATGTCACCAAGGTTCTGAACGTTTGGGGAAAAAAATGTAAACAAGTTAAATAGGAAGTGGATGGATGGATGGATGGACAGATAGATGGATGGATGGATGGGCAGGTAGATGAAGATAGACAAGATAAACAGATTGATCAATCTGGACAGTTAACTCTCAGTTCATTCATATCTTATCACATACCCATTCAATTTTGGAAATATCAATCAAAGAAGTATTATACTTACTTTCTTTGGATGGGGCAATAGCTTTTGGTTGCACCAATTAATATCCGAGCTGCCTCTATACCAAGGAGTCCATCTTTACACTGTTTTTCAAAGCTACTCTAAACATACAATTTTAAATAAAAATTACAAAGAACCAAAACATATATGTAATGAACTTTGGTTAACTACATGGCCCTCAGTATTATTATTATTGAAGTTATTATATGAAAATAGGCTTTTACCCCCCAAAAATGTTATAGCAGGAAATAAATTTTATTCAATTTAAATATTTACTAGGTATTTATTTTTTGCAAAGTACTGTCCTGGAAGTTTTAAAAGATACAAATGTTCCTATCTTTAGAAAATTTAAAATCTATACAACTCAGAGTTTACTTCAGAATATAAATAGCATCGCAGCCTCAAAAAGAACTACCTACCAAGAGAGGTAAGTAAACTGTGTCCTTTTTTAAAACTGTTTTCTAGGTTTATTGAGATATAGTTGACATATAACATTGTGTAAGTTTCATGTGTACAACGTGATGATTTCATATACATATATTTTGCAAAATAATTACCGCCATAAGGCTAGAAACACATCCATCACCTCACATAATTACAACTTTCTTGTGTCTGCTGAGAATATTCAAGAGTCACTCTCCTTGCAATGTTCAAGTATACAATACAGTATTGTTAATGATATTAGTTAACATGCTGTTAATATTAGACCCCCAGAACTTATTCATTTTATAACTGAAAGTTTCCACTTTGACCAACATCTACCCACTATAGTGATCTTCTTTGTCTCTTGTGACCAATTTTTACTTCAAGTCTGTTTTATTTGATGTAAATATAGGCACTCCTGCTCTCTTTTGGTTACAATTACATGGCTTATCTTTTTCCAGTCCTTCACTTTCAGCCTACGTGTGTCCTTAAAATTTAAGTGAGTCTCTTAAAAGCAGCATATAGTTGGATCTTGTTTTTTTATTCATTCAGCCCCTTTGTCTTTTGATTGGAGGATTTAGTCCATTTACATTTAAGGTAATTATTGGTAAATAAGGACTTATTGTTGCCATTTTGTTTTATGGTGTTTTGTTTTTAGTTCCTTTGTGCATTGCTTCTCTTGCCGTCTTCCTTTGTTATTTATTTTTGTAGCGGCATATTTTAATTCCTTGCTCTTTCTCTTTGATGTATCCCCTATATATTTTTCTTTGTGATTACCATGAGGCATACATAAAACATCTTACAGATATAACTACACAGTACTCTTGTGTCAACCCACCCCGTGACCCCCAAAATAAATCAGGAGAAAAGCCATACCTTTTAGGTGCCACTGATATTAAACTTAGAGAATAAAGTTACCTCCTGGGATACTTCCTTCCTTGCCAAACATCCTTCCTCACATGCTGACCATAGACTCTTGCTTTATTGTTTATAATGTATTCATTGTGGAAACTGCAAACCTTCCCAAGGCGAGGCTCCAGAACATTCCCCAAATCACCTTCCCCACGTTTTATTGGTCAAAACAAGTCACAAGAACAGCCCAAATTCATGGCGGAGGTATATAGACACCATATCTTAAGAAGAGGCTCTACAAAGAATTTGTGACTATATTTTACTGCTCTGGATAAGAGCCTTTCAAACTCCGAAAATATTTTAAATTAAGTATTGAGATGTTTAAAAGAATAAAAACATAATATTTTCATATTAAGAAGAAATGTGTTATTTAACAGAAAAAAAATGAAAGAAGAGAAGAAGGAATTTATAAATTAAAAGACACTTAAAGGGCTTATCCATTAATTGCAATGTGCTAACTTTATTGGAATCCAATTTAAAAATATAAACTGTTAAAATATGTGTTGATCACATTTATGAAACAACTGGAAATTTGATCTACTCAATATTTGATGTTATTAAGGAATTATTAAATTCAGGTGATATATTAGTATTTTACTGTGTTTTTTAAAAGACTTTAAAATGTAGAGATACAGACTGAAATATTTATAATGAAATAATGGTAGGATACCTGGGATTTGCTTCAAAATAATATAAAAAGCAGGGCCGGCCGAGTGGCTCAGTTGGTTAAGAGCACAAGCTCTGAGCAACAGGGTCGTCGGTTCAATTCCCAGTGAACTGCGCCCCATCTGAGCTGCCGCTGAGCTGCCAATAGGTGGCAGGATGGCTCAGCTGGTGGGAGTGCGTGCTCCTAACAAGGTTGCCAGGTGGAGTCCCGTATGGGACGGTGGGTTATGTCCCCCGCCCCCCATGTCTGCAACTAGATTGGAAACCGCAAGTGGACTTGGAGCTGAGCTAGTTGCGCCCTCCACAACTAAGACTGAAGGACAACAACTTGTCTGTTCCCCTTCCCCAATTCCCCAACACTGTTCCCCTTCCCCAATTCCCCAATTAAAAAATCTAAAATAATAATAATAATAATATAAAAGGTGAGGGTGAATGCGGGTGCAAATGCAACAGGTTTGGTCATGTGTGGGTGGTTTTTAAGGCTGGGTGATGAATACGCGGGGGTTCATTACACTATTGTATCTACTTTTGTACATGTTAGAAAATTTCCATAATAATAAGTTTAAAAATTGAAGTTAAAAAGGACTCTGGGCATAATGAGTATTTCATATCCTTGTAATATTGAGTAAAATTTGTCTGGTTAGAATATAACCCCAATTTAAAATGTGTAATTTGATAAGTTGATTTGAATCTCATTACCTAGCAATCTTCCTATGTTTTTTTTTAAAGATTTTATTGGGGAATCGGGGGTGGGAAAAGCATTGGGGAATTGGGGGAAGGCGAACAGACAAGTTGCTGTCCTTTTGTTCTTCAGTCTAGTTGTGGAGGACGTTGCTTCACTGGCCCAAGTTGGCACCATCATTGCGCTCTTCCCAGGCGAGGCAGATCAGTCGCCGGCTTCTGGACGGCCGCTCACTGCGGCTGCTGGCCGCTCACGCTGGCTGCTGGCTACACACGGCAGCCCATGGCAACCCACTGCAGCAGGGGCTGCAGCCTACTCCATCACCGGCGACTCACGGCAGCCCAGCTCCAGGTTGAGCTGTTGTTCAGCATCTTAGCTGTAGAGGGCAGTGTCACTGGCCCTCATATGTGGGATCTGGACCGCGGCCCTCTGGCATCCCAAGCCAGCTCTTAACCAACGTGCCACTCAGCCAGCCCTCTTCCTATGTTTATAATAGAACATTTGAATGTTAAATCTGAAATATTTTAAGGGAATTTTTGATTCATTACATTTACTTCAATTTATTAGATTTATAAGGGCTAAATAAGCACTTGAGAGAATTTTGTATAAAAGGGACTCAAATAAGTTAAATTTATAAAAGCAGTTTCAAATATTATAAAGATGTTTAATTAACTTAACATATAAATGGTACCAAATGTTATTCAAAGACCCCTAAAAGGTGAACTGCTAAAATCTGCTAGACTTAGAATAAGATTTGTTACTTGAACTTAAAGTCTATGAGATTTTTCATTTTTTAATTTTCATAAATCAGACATAAATTTTAACAACTAATAGGCTATCAAAAGATGGAAAAACATATTTTTTCTAGTCACCTGAAAACCATATGTAAGAATTAAAAGCATTGCAAGAATAAAAAAAAAAAAAGCAGGTTATGCGAACAGTACCAACCATTTGTATCATAGCTATATGCAATCTGGCTTGTTCTATTAAAACTTCATCTGTTGGAGACTCCTCATCTTTGTCATCATGTGAATTGTGGTAAAACTGGACAGCATCAGGCTGTTTTAAAAGCATACAGAGATAAAGCTAAACGTAAGTGAAAATGATTAGGAGCTGTCAAATGCTTCGCTCAACAAAGCGTTCAATAATTCAAATCCGAATTATTAAAATGAAGGGCCATGTATAAGTGGGTAACATTCTCCATATAAGAAATGTTGCTTTCAGTTGTGGGAAAGTAACTATTTATTTGGGATTTAGAGGTGAAATTCTTCCCCAAATTGTCTATGCTTGACTGCTCTCTGAAGCAACCTATGTTTTCTGTTTGTTTTTTTTTATAAGACTTATCCTGGGAGAGATCTCTCAGTTCCTCCACCAGTTGGAACATTAGGCATGGCAGAACACACTCATAGTTACTCAACCGGCCAGTCTGTAAAACCACTAATTCTCCCATATTTGGTAAACAAGGTTAGATCACCATGACTTGTCTGAGACTCAATTCAAAGAAGTCTTTTAACCAAGCTAGAAAAGCTAATAAAATACACCCCACCCCCACCCCCACAAGTTTTCCGACAGTTAATTAGCAGACCCAGGGAGGGAAAGCACTACTTTTTGCCAGGTATCAACTCACAAGAATGCTGTGTTTAATCTTTGTTTTTTCTTCTACTATGGTCCAGTTAACATTGGTCAAAATTTTCTCCACTTTAAATAAAGTTATTGTGTTCCGTATTATCTCCTGTATGTGTTTAATGGCACTTTGCATGGCTATTTGTCTTGGAAGAGAAATGGCACACAAACCTGTAACAAACAAAAGCAAGAGCCTTAATAGAATTCACAGAAGACTGCAAGGAGAAGCAAAAATGTCACATGATGTAGTGAAATCTTAGCATCACCTGCATAGCCAAACCAGAGTGCTTAGAGCAAGGACAACTTTTGGTCAAGAATTTTCCAGAAAATTACCCAACTCTCTGGTCTCCTTTGGGCTGTATAGCTTAACTTGATCTGATTCAACTGGTAATGAATGTTTTTATAGAAATGTACACTTGAAACCTATATAATTTTACTATCAATGTCACTCCAATAAATTTAATTAAATATAGTAGAAATCTAAAAAAAAAGGGAATGTTTTACCAGTTTCCTTTCATTCCCTATAATTAGAGACATGACTCACTATTTCAAGGCACCCAATGGGTATTTTTCAAAGTGTGGAGAACTCCATGTGTCTTCTACAGGTAGAAGTGCTGCTTATTAAATTATGCAAATTCCTGGGCTCCACCCCATCGGTGGAGAATCAGATTGGCCTGAGAATTTGCATTTTAACAAGTTCTCCAACTGATTCTTTTTTTTTAAAATCCCCCAACACACATTCACATGCACATCCACAACCACACAACCAACTTTCTGTCAGAAGCTTAATGCTTCACTCTTAAACATGTGTGCACTTGGTAAGAAAGTTTCCATTTGCCCACTGATTCTTATACACAATAAAATTTAAAGGCCACTGCCATGGAGATCTCTCAAATTTAACATCTCTCTTGACTGGCTAGCAAACCTATGTGTCCTAAACTTGTAGCACCTTGTATTTTCTTGAGGTAGGAATTTGAAGCTACAGCTCTGAGGCTCACTTGCCAAAAAAAAAAAAGAATTTAGACAGAGAGCTTAGCCACCACACTCCAAATTCCATCACAGTAAAACAGTTCTGTCTTTGTAACTGCATAGGGACTGTCTCATCAAGAGTTAAAATGGCTTCTAGATGTTTCAGTTTAAGTTCATTGCACTCTCTATGGGACCCTGCACAATAGTGGTGTCTGAAATTCTGGGAATTCAAAAAGGTCTAGAGGCATATCCCTCTCGGTTCTCTCTGGTCCCCAGCAAAGATGCATTTGACAGCGAGCTGTAGAGTTAGGAGGTGTCAACTTTGGATTTAAAATTCCCGTGGCTGAGACCACATGAAGAGCAAGCTCATTCGTTTGCCTAATGACATCCTACCCATACAATGGGGCAGAAGCCACTTTCCAGCCGCCATGAGGACCACTTGGTGGCAGCGGTACCTTTGAATGGACTCCCTGTGTTTAAGGTGGGCCTGGAAGAGTGTGAGGAGCCACCTCCTCAAAGCATTAGACCTGACCGAAGAGGCTGGTTTGAAATTCTTACTAAAAGGCCAGTTCTAGCAGGAGCCTGTGAAATGCGTGCCATGCAGTAATTCTAGAAAGGGTGAGCATTGATTCTGAGAGGATAAAGTGCTTGCTACATATTTTTGCTTCAGAATGAAAATCCTGAGGTTTAGTGAACACAATAAAAATTTTGTATTGGCAGGAAAAGAGAAGAAAGCATGACCATGATAGTAAAACCCCTTGGTCTTGCCTTTGAGTAGCATAGGAAGCAGAACCACAAGAAAAGGAGCATGGAGGAACCCCAGATGTCATGTCCTGAGCAGAGAGGGCAGAGCAGGCCCGGGAGTTGAAGAGCAGACCTTCAGGGATCAAATTAACATCACCCATGCTCCAGGGTAGGCTTCTGCTGACCCAAGCACACCTTGTCACTGCAAATAAGAGCAAACCGGTAGCTGGGGAAAGAGGAGAACTGCCAAAAATCTGCCCTGTTCACTAGCCCTATTTACATATTGGCGCTGTCACAGGAAGTTCTGTGATGGTGGTGATGTGGTGGTGATGGGGCACGGTTTCAGGCACAAGCAGGACTGCGAGAAGACCCCAGCAGAGGTGATGTCTCTTGTGGGTGGGACAAGGTAAATTCCCCAGGGTAGTTCCCTGTTTAAAAGAACTCTCCTTCAATGTTATCCTTCCATCCACCTCTCGTTAGTTCCATGCTTTCCCAGAAACTTTCTGATTACTAATTTGGCTTAGGAAGGAAATTGGTATTTCGAGGTGAATACCCTGAATAATGATCACAATTATTTCAAAAATAGAAAGAAATCACCTTCGTTATAAATTAATAATTTGATTTTCTGCTTTATCCATATTCTCTTGTGAGTGCAGTACATGCAAATCTTCAGCAGCTCTAGAGACCCAGACAGAATCAGTCCTCTGCACCAGCAAAGCTGAGGACAGGGTCACAGGACACTGGGCAGCGCTGAAGCCCATGCTAAGACTTGGTGTGGCCCCACCCCGCTCCCTCCCTCCTGCCTGGACCCCACTGCCACCGATTAACTTATTCTGGATTTCTCTATTGACCATGTGTCTACCTGTGTCTTGATCATATTTATGCATACACATAATCTATTTGCCTTATTCTCCCCAGTTAATTACTGAAAGATAGATATACGTTACCTAACGTCCTGGCAAAATGAGTCATCATGTATGAATTGATTCCCATAGTCATTAACGATACCACTTGTACATACAATATAAACTATAAAACAAAATGCACAAATAGAACCAAAACATTAATAAGTTCTTCAAAGAGAATCACTGTTCAATTAACCACCCACAAAATTCTTAATCTATGTTTTTAATGCCTGTCTCTGATAAGTAAATTGGGGCAAAAGGATGGTTTTGTGAACACCACTTGGATATTATATACTGGGGAAGAAATGAGTTTTCCATCTGAATGAGAAAAAAAAAAGATTTGGTAGGTTCTGGGAAGGATAGGAACCCTGAGAGGAGAGCTCTCCACAGCTTTCAGCAGCAGCCACACAAAACCAGCAAGGGGGGGCCATCCCAGACAGGTGGGGGAGAGACCCCCCCACTCCCCCACCCCCACCCCCCAAAACAGCAGGCCATGGGGACCACAGGTGGGGAAGGGAAATGCACCTGCCACAAACATTTTACTGCCCCTGGACAAGAGGCTCTGCAGAAGCAGATGGGAGCTCTGGTGGGGTCTGGAGAGGCGCAGTGCCTAAGCAGAAACAACAACATTTGGAATTCTTGGCTCTGCCTTTTATTACCCATGGGCTTCGGGGCCAGTTAACCAATCTGCGCCTCGGCGCCTGTCACTGAAAAATGGAGTTAATAGCAATATGTCTACCAGAGAGCGTTCCAAACTTGACTGACAGCAGTAAAGCACCGGAAGTGCAGCTTAAAGACACTGGCTACCAGGCTTCCCTGTGGGTTCTGATTCTGTAGGTCTGGGGTGGAGCCAAAGTGGTCCTCAACATCAGACACATTTGGGAAACACCGTAAAATAAGAGTCAAATGTGAGTTCACATTTCATTGACTTGGTTTTAGGCCAATTTCTTGCACAAAAGAAAACGAGGAACTCAGATGTTGGTTACTATCCTTTTCCTTTGAAACATGAAAAGACCCACAGTCTTGGCAAAACCACAGGTTTGTTTGAACTCTGAATTAATTCCCAGACCATGCCCACAGATATAAAGTGTAAATCATCAGGAAAGACAACAAGGAATATGATATACTCCATAAAAAAAACAAACAAAAAAAAACACTTCCTCCTTTGGGAGTTAGGGCACCTGAGTTTGTTTCCTAACGTACTTTTCTCTGTTTTGATTTCTGCACATACAAGAAGCAGAGGGTGATAGTTGCTCACAAAGAAAAGATATTTGAAAAAAAAAAACTGTACTCCTGGGGCCTTCTAGGACAGGAGCAAAATAGCAAAGAAGAGAAAATCCTGAGCTGGAAATTGGGTAACATCAGGAAACTCTGTATATCTACCCTCCTGCTTGAAGTTCCTTGGGAGGTGGGCAGGTGTTCTTAATTTACATTATTCAAGTGCTTTTCTCCTTCCCAGGAGCAGGTTTGGGGTTCATCTGACTTGGGAGGTGGTGGGGGTTTTCTGAGGAATTCTAGAACCTTCTAGCAACTTTTCCAGCTGGCTCACATAGTACTGTCACAAATGATAAGGAATCCTAACACTATTAGCAGATCCACTGAGCTCTTTCAATCTTTCCTGGCATCTCAGTACCACAGATGCCGCCACCACCAGAGAGCCCACTGGCTAGCCCGTGGGAAAAGGGCTTTGAGAGAGAGGGGAAAGAAAACCAAGTTTTGTTTCTCTCCATAGATAATGTAGTCTTCAGTCACAATTTTTAAAGAAATTAATTTTTAAAAATTAGCCCTAAGGACATAAATATAATTAGATCCTTAGTTCAAACATTTTTAAAAAAATCTTTCTTCCCTTAATATGTTTCACTAGCACTTCAGTTTTTGCTTTACTAGCTATTGGTATTGGAATGTTGTAGATAGGGTATTACTTTTTATGATTTCTGACAGCTATTAAACAGTAGCATTTATATGCTCAATAACATTTATTGAACATTTACTACGTGTCAGGCATTTTACTAAGCATCATCTCAATCCTGAACTGGAAATTGAAATTCCACAAATTTGGGGACTCACCCAAGGTCACACAGCCTGTGAAAGGTGGAGCCAGGACTTGACCCCAAGTCCACCGAGCTCCCAAGTCCATAAACTTTACCTGACTGTTGGTCCCTTTCACATTGTCAACATCAATACACTTTCCCCTAAAAGTTCCTTCCTACTTAAAAGAATGTATTTTTCAAATCTAATTTTTAAAAAAAGTTTAACTTTATTATTGGGTACTATGACAAGTGCTACAAATACAATGAATAAATATGAATAATCATGAGACATGATTTTTCCTACCACTTCTGGTGACTCTATTTTTTGTTCAGATATATTGTAAATATCAGGAGCCAACAGTAAGTTAAAAACTCCTTTAATTCCAGACCATGCTATGACAGCTCCCCATCTCCAGTCATACTCATAAATTGAGTGCTTCAGAACAGGACTCACTAGCACAATAGTAACCAATCTGTGGAGAGAAAAACATTTAAATCATCACACCTTATGTATTAATGTGATTCATGGTGGAAATTATGTACTAAATATTAAATTTCATATCAAATGTTTCAGGAAAGAGAAGACAATCTAGTTTTTTGATAAGTGGTTGAAAATTTCTGGAACTAACCAAATCTACTCTCTTGCATGTAATACTCAAATCTTGAAAAATAATGCTATAAGTTTTATACAAATGTAAGAAATGATCATTGACACCAGTGTGTACTGTTTGTTTGAGTCTTGGTAATAAATTCCCGTAGGGAAATTTCCTCAAATAATATCGATAAGCTCATCTGTTCCCTGAAAGGCCATGACTGGATTCAGAAATTAGGATGGAGGGCTGCAGATCACGGCCAAAAAGTAAAATTATTGTGAACACATTAACAAACTTAGCTCAACCAAATTTCTCTAGAGTTCCCACAAGAATCATATATTAAGTGTCACAAATAATTTCAATGTGTTCCTTATTTCTCTACAGGTCATTTTTCTATAGGACCCTGTGACAAAATTTACAATCTATCTTGTGCTTGCTTCGGCAGCAAATATACTAAAATTGGTACAGTCTATCTTGAAGGGCTGTGCACCAAAAAAATATCAGTACTGTCCTTCAAATATTTCAGCAGAAATAAAATGGACATGTTCTCAGAAACAAAAAAATATATTGTGTATCAGTTGCTAAGCTAGGAATTTCACAAGACAATTTTGAGAGTTCCTGTCATTGAGAAATAGAAAATCGACAATCACCATCTATAACGTTTATAATTAATTTGGGCAAACTTCTCAGCCTTGCATTTAAGCTTTTTGCGAAGTAATTCTTACCAACCTTTTCAGTCTTACTCAATAATATTTCTCTAACATTCCATGAGTCCAGCCAAAATTGAACAACTGGTGTTGTTTCCTAATATAAAAAGTGGAGGAGTATATCCAATGCTCTGGAATAAGTCTACCTGGGCTCAAATTTTAGGCTTCTTTCACTAACTGTGTAAACTTAAGCAAGTTATTTAATCTCTCTAAACCTCAGTTTCTTCTGTAAAATGGAGACGATGATGATAATTGTATTTGCCTCAAATGATTATTTTGAAGATTCAATTAAATGAGGCAACATTCATAGGGCTTAGAATGATGTTTTGATTGTGGTCGGTGTTCAATATGTCAGCAATGATAATTATACCCAGGGCTTTGTTTGACTCATCCTCTCTGATACGTCCTTTCCAGCAAGTCTCTAGGGAAAGCCCACCCATACTTTGAGGGTCCCTTAGGATGACTCTCTCTATTAAAGCATTTCTTCTAGCATAAGTTCACACAATATCTCGGGTACTCACTAGCCATTTGCATTTGGGCAAGGTACTTTGCCTTTCTTGGCCAGTTTCTTCATCTATAAAATAGAGAGACTAATTCTTACCTCCTAGTGTTGTAATGAAGATGAAATGAGATCATGGATGTGCAGCTGAGTCAAACAATGTGCAAAAAGTCATGCATCTTTCTTCAACTTGCACATGAGCTCCCATGGTGGGAAGAAACGTAAATTGTATACACATCCTTCTGTGAGGGCGACTACCTGAGTTGCCTGCAGTGCCCTCGGGGGCAGCAGAAGCCATATTCCATGAGAACATCTTATAAAGGCCTAGCCAACAGGCCTGCCCTGAATGGAAATGACAATTTTTTGCAAAGAAACTGTCATAAATTCTTATGGGAGAGACAACGACCATGAGTGGGCAATGGCATTCTAGAAAAGCATGCTCATGGGAGTCAAGTTTAAATCCCAACTCTGCCCTTACAAGTTGGGTGACTCTAGGCAAGTTTTTAGCCTCTCGGAGCTTCATCTGTGAAATGATGAAATGACACTTACCTCACAGGGTTGTATTAATATTAATGGCATAATGTACATGGTAAGTGCTTAATAAATGGCTTTATCATAGCTACGAGGTCCAATTAAGTTTGTGAACTCATCCTAGAAAAAGCGCTACATACCTCATTGCTGAATATCACTATGGTTACCTTCGAAGTACTCCCCTTGGGAAGCTATGCACCAACACCAGCATCTAGTCTACCCTTCAAAGCAATTTTGGAACTCTTTTTCTGGAATGGCCATCAGAGCTGTCATTGTATTACCCTTGATGTCCCGAATGTCATCAAAATGTCTTCCTTTCAGTATTTCCTTTATCTTCGGGTAAAGAAAGAAGTCATTGGGGGCCAGATCAGGTGAGTAGGGAGGGTGTTCCAATACAGTTATTTTTTTCCTGGCTAAAACCTCCCCCACAGACAATGCCGTGTGAGCTGGTACACTGTCGTGATGCAAAAGCCATGAAATGTTGGCGAAAAGTTCAGGTCATCTAACTTTTTCACATAGCTTTTTTAGCACTTCCAAATAGTCAGCTTGGTTAACTGTTTGTCCAGTTGGTACAGATTCATAATGAATAATCCCTCTGATATCAAAAATAGGTTAGCAACATCATTGCAACAAGTTCGCGAACTTCATTGTCACAGCTTGTATGATGATAATACATGATAATGAAAGTCAACACAAAAATGTGAGGAGCCATTAATCTGGGTCCAGGGGTGCTCAAACTTTAACAAGCATGTTGAAACAGTTATGTGCATCTGGAGATTCAACTCAGTACATTGGGATGGGCCGATGAATTTGCATTTCTATAAAGCTCATGGGTTATGCCGAAGCTGCTGTTCTGCCCTTTCTCATTTTACAGATGAAATTTGAAGAGCAAATACACAAACACACACCCCTCGTGGCACAACAAGCTGTTGTCAGGACCTTGACAACCACCCAGGCAGGCTTCCTGTCTGCACGCCCAGAGCTCTCTTTTGCTGTAGCCCACTGTTTCCCAATTGTAATTATGGGCTTGAGAACCTAGGACCAGTAAGCAAGCTTTAAAATACAGTTCTTACCTGACAAAATTCACTGCTGCAAACAAGATTAAAATGAAAACTACAGTGTGAGCTCGAAAATAGTTGGTTTGTCCACATCCAACTACAATGCCAAAGAAAGTGTATATTAAATGATGGAATACGGATGAAAACATTATTAGGAACCTAGGATGAATAGAAAGGAAATCACATTTTAGCAACGTGTTTTTTCAATAGCTCCTGTTTCGCATAAAAGCGTGTCTCACACACGTATCTGCCATTCTCGTCTTAGCAGAGGTCCTTGCCTCCATCACTGTTATAATCAACATTTAAAAGTATTTTGTTGGGGGCGGCCAGGTGGCTTAGTTGGTTAGAGCGCGCGCTCTGATCAAGGTTGCCGGCTCGATTCCCACATGGGCCAGTGAGCTGCGCCCTCTGCAACTAGATTGAAACAACTACTTGACTTTGGAGCTGATGGGTCCTAGAAGAACACATTGTTCCCCGATAAAGTTAAAAAAAAAACTTAAAAAAAAGTATTTTGTTGGAACTAAAATACACCCAGTTCCATGTCCTTCAATCCCCCATCACACCCACACCCATGGGCTGCCTCTCACAGCAGAAGAGTAACAGTGAGGCAGAGGAGTAAAGATCCCCAGCCCTCACCCCCAGGTTGGTGATGTGGCAGCTTCATTGCGATGAGCTGGCAGCACATCAACAGTCAGACCTGCCATGGCTAAACCCAGAACTGAGGTTGCTGCAAGGAGCCAGCCGGTTCCCCTTGACTTTGTGAGAGCTGACTGGATCACCTCAATGCCCTCTGCACTACTGCTGCCTTGGTGATCTGCATCAAACTTTCTTACCTTGAAGTCTCTCCTATCTGCTTTCCCATTTACTGAATTCCGAAAAATCTGGCAAGGCTAACTCTAATCCTGTGTTCGTCACAAAACCATCCTAAGCACTGCCTCTGGAAGTGACCCTCCTCTGAAACCCCACAGTGTCCATCATCTGCACCGAAGAGCATTAAGAATCACCTAGAGGGCCGACCGAGTGGCGCGATGGTTAAGAACTGGCTTGGGACGCCAGAGGGCCCCGGTTCGGATCCCACATATGAGGGCCAGTGACACTGCCCTCTACAGCTAAGATGCTGAACAACAGCTCAACCTGGAGCTGGGCTGCTGTGAGTCGCCGGCGACGGCCTAGGTTGCAGCCTCTGTGGCAGTGGGTTGCCATGGGCTACCGTGTGTAGCCAGTAGCCAGCGTGAGCGGCCAGCAGCTGCAGTGAGCGGCCGTCCAGAAGCCGGCGACTGATCTGCCTCGCCCAGGAAGAACGCAATGATGGTGCCAACTTGGGCCAGTGAAGCAACGTCCTCCACAACTAGACTGAAGAACAAAACGACAGCAACTTATCTGTTCCCCTTCCCCCAACTCCCCAGCGCTGTTCCCATCCCCCCAATTCCCCAATAAAAATCTTAAAAAAAGAATCACCTAGATCGCTTTCCAAAAATCTACATGCCTGGCCCCGCCCCAAATATTCTTACTGAGCAGATCAGAGCACAGAGGTTAGGGAATGGGGCTGTTCTGGTTCCATGTGGTAACACAGCTGGGTCAAGGCCAGGTCTGACCTCTACAGGCAGATCTCAAGCCATGTCTCCTCTTGGGACTGTCCCCTTCTGCTGACTGGGTGGGGGTGTCTGTCCCACAAACCAGTGTCCCTGTAGGTGGGTCTGAACTTCTACCCTCGGAAAGAAGCTTTTGGAAGCCTCATTATAGCTGCAGTTATAAACCATGTCCTCTGATATAGCATTACTCCACTTAAACAGATAGTCTGACCCACGATCTGACTCAGAACTCTTGATTCAATTAATTCAGAACTCATACAAGGGAAGAGTATGAGTGGACCTCATATCCCAATGCTTAGTTTTCTGAAAATTCAGAAATGATGGGATAACTGGCTGAGTAGAATACCTTTTTAAATGCCTCCATAGGACCTAAAAAATGTCTTATATATCGTAGGACCCCAATACACACATAAATGTTTACACTTATTATTAGGTTCTTACATAAACACATCTACCACTTAACAATGAGTGCCTTCTGAGAAGGGGCTTATTTTCATAGCTTAAACCTAAGATATAAGGTCTAAGTCATAGCAGACAGTGAACAAGGATGAGCTGAATAGTTGAAAGAATAAACAACTGAGTGAATAGAATGAGTAATTTATAATGATGCTGACAGACAGCATGAGTGAGCTCAGAAAAACTGTCGAAATTCAGACAAAAATACAAGTTCTTTGAATCTGTCATTCCCAAGCTTCTGGATTTTAAAAACCAGTAAAGTGTCTTCACATTTACACAAAACTAGTATAGTTATAGGTGTCAATTTTTTTAGTTTGCCAAGTAGGGCTTAAAAAAAAAAAGTACCATCTTCTATCACTGGAATTTCATAAAAGAAAGGACATTTTTAATACCATAAAAGCAGAAAGGACTGTATAGTCCTTTACATTAAAGTAATGAATCTTCATGGGAAAACCCAGGATTATGGCTTATTTTTCTCATTTTAACATTTGCTTTCATCCAATGTGAGAATTTCTACACTAGAGTATGATTTGGTGGGAACTAATTCTGAAATAAATCTGTAATTTAGCACAGTCTCTCAGAGAAAAGCTAACTTGTTTGTCTGAGAAGACAAGCAAATGGCATTCCCTTTGCCCAGAGAAGGCCACAGGACACTTTGTAAAGGGTAGCTAAGGGTTTTGGTGGAGCTGTGTCTTTCTGCTACGTTTCTTTTCCAGCTCTTCCCATATTAGGATACTGTCATTCAGGTTCTTTGTGAACAAAATAAAGGAATAAAGTATTTTTTTAACTTCTGACAGTTCAAAGTCAATTTTTATCAGAGAGTTATGTATGAAAAACACTATGGTCTCTGAGCCACTGATAATACTGTTCAGCACAGGAATATCAATTAATGTCAATAATTGTTGGCTCCTTAAGTTCTTTTCAAAAATAACTGGTAGTGAAATTAAAAGTGAACAGGTAGGAAAAAGTTATAAAAAGGGAGTTTTATTAGTGCCCGTGAAGGCAAAACCACTTAAGCACTGAATTTCTACAAGATCTATACCATGTACACAATAGGAGACTTACTTGGTAATTATTAACTTGATCCTCGGTTTAAAGCTTAAGGAATCTAAATTCAGTCCTACGATGACTAAAGCCACCAATCCCGACATTCCAAAAAATTCCACTAGGAAGGAAAAAAAAATGGATAAAATGAGTTGCATTCAAATCTGCACACTGAGGTACTCTGTCTTGCGTAAAGGATGGATGGGAGACTCAAGGGCATTATTTCTCAGAAAGTTGCTTTAATTAGTTGGCCTAATCCTGAAGATCGGGGGTTGGCCAACTTTTTCCATAAAGGATCAGATAATAAGTATTTAGTCTTTGCAGGCCATACAGTCCCACTTGACACGACTCCCTGTGCAAAAAGCTGCCATAGGTACCACGTAAATGAATGAGTGTCCAATAAAGAATGAAACAGGGATTTGAATTTCACATAATTTTCAGGACTAAGCTAGTAAATGATTATTCATTCCATTCTTCTGCTTCCCTTCCAGATACAGATGTACTTGATTTCTCCCTCTCCTTTCCTGCCTCCGACCCTCAGGAAAGGGCCGCCATTTTGGGACTCAATAAATGAAAGACAGTTGAGCTGGAAAAGAACTCAGGAGCCTCTCTCCAAACTTTCTCATGTTAGAGATGGGCTGCTAAGGCTCAGAGCAGGGATCACTGAGTGCTGACTCCTCCTCCAGGGGATGGCCAGTGACTACATGCAAGGTCAAAGGATGGAGTTCAGAAAGAGTAATAGTAACCACATAGAGGGAGAATGCAAAGGGAAGGGACAGGTAGTTAAATTAAGGAGATGAGGCGATACCAGGAAAGAGCTGGAGGTGGCAGAAAGATAATAGGACCAGGTGCACAGAGGGGCCACAACAAGGGGGAAGCAGTTGGGGGAAAGCAACTGGATTCAAGATCAAGGGATATGGAGATGAACAAAGTTCACACTGAGGACGGCATTTGTTGTTGTTTTTTTTTTGTATTTGTTTCTGCCTTACCAATGTAGAAGGTCATGTACACCATCGAAAAGTAAAGAACAATATTAGTCAGCGTGTTGCTAAAAAGGTCAGTCAATATAAAATGAATGATTCTTGCACTCCAATATCCAGCTATTATGCTTCCCAAAATGTTCAAGATGAGGTCTATGAGGATGTAAAACTCTAGAGAAAGAGAAGAAGAAAAAGCAAAGTTGGACTTGCGTCTTTCATTGATGACATGTGGGTCGACACACTTTGATTTGCTCTCGAGATTTTGAATGGAGGCCTTGTTCTGCAGCAGATAGGAGTTTCCTAAGAGAGCCTGGCTAAAGAGGCTCTCTCTCTGCGGATATAGTTCCCTTACAGTTTGCAACTTGAGGGTTGCTGATCCAGGCACAGCAGACGCAAATGCTCTCAGAAGCCAGTCCGGGAGAATAATGTGGAAAGCCTGTGACAAGCTGGAGAATGAAGGTCCAACCAAAAGACACCCGAATGTCCACCCAAATTTAAATGTTTTACAAATTCCATCAGGGCCAAGCCAACCTTCTCCGGGGGCCCCACCAAACCTGCAGCCCACTTGTGACCCCTTCCCCCAGCCCAGGTGACATTTAGGAAATAGAGAGGGGAAATTTTCTGTGGTCACAATAACTGGGGACAATAGAGACAGGGAGCAGGTTTTGGGCAATGCCAAGGGTAGTCCTAAATAGCAAAGACTGTCCTTCCCTAAATGCCTATTAAGAGGCACGGCAAACCCCTTTTGTCACCAATGTTTCTTTCTTCTTTTAGCACTCACTCTCTTCCCCTACAACTGTCACATAAAAAAGTCAGGAGGACACCTGTTGCTTCTTCAGGCTGTGATTTTTTTCCCCCATCTTCTCTACTATTGCCCTATTTGGAAACCTAGCAAAACAACATGCTCCATATCCCAGTGACTGATCACCTGAATCAGACTAGAAGCACCTCTAGGACCTGGTGCTCCAACACTGCTTGAAATTCTCAGCTTTCACCCTCAGACTCAACTCCAGGACCGAGCCAATGCTTAGCATCCACTCACTGAGATCCAGACTGATCCAGGAAAGAAGTAAATCTGAGCCACATGGAACAGTGTGTGTGTGTGTGTGTGTGTGTGTGTACACGTGTGCACATGCGTATTGAGGGTGATGGAATACTTTACCACTCTTTCCCCCTTACTGTCCAAGAAAACACACAGATGGCATGTAATTATTTTCTTGTGGCCTGATATGCTATTTTAACTGGTCAAAGTGTAGAGAAAGCACTAAAGTTAAGACATCTTGAATGTTCTTTAATGTCAGTATGAATTGAAGTGCACCAAATATGATTTTAGAAAATATACAAGACAAAAAAAAATGCTCTTACCCCTCAACATAGACATGTGAAGTATGTTGTTCCGAAAAAATCCAAAACAAATAAATATGAAGCTACAGATGATCACTGATTCTCCTCTAATAATATCAATATATATTTTGGACATACCTGGAAAAGGAAATACAAAATATAATTCAATATGAAAACAATGCTCTTAAACAGGAAACACAAAAACAGAAGAGATGGAATACGCTAGAAAAAAAAGAAGGTAGCCATGACTGGGATGGGTCTGTAAGACAATCACAATCACTGCTTTTAACTTGGCCACTGTGCCTTCCATATCTCCAATAGCAAAGGAACATGGCAACAGCGCTCCTTGAAGCATCCATGGCCTCAGACAACGCTTGAGCTTCAGAATGAGACAAAACGTTTCTCAGGACACTACATTTAGCTTAAATAAACATGAATTGTTAGACTCCACAAGAATCCCATTTTAGAAAATTGAGTCAAATTTGCTCTATTAGGAAAAAAGGTTATTGGATCCAGGAACCATGTACAACCTGAGCATTACTGACATAAAGAAAATATCAACTAAGAGCCATTACCTTCCCTAGTTTTCTTTTGAAGACATAGGAGACTTGAATTTACTCCTTTTATGAAAAAAATTTCTTTTGAATATGGAAACTGCAATAAATAATTAAAGTTTATAGTTGATTATAGACACTTAGAATCAAGAGATTACAGAAAAGGGAGAAGGAAGAGAACACAAAAGACCAAAAGAGAAAGACAGGTGAAGGGAAGAAAAAAATTGAACTTAGAAAAAAAAATAGAAAGGAAAGAGGTCAGGATCAGACTCTTTGAGAAATACCTTGTGACAATTTAGAATATCACCACCACAAGTGTCTGAAAACCTCCTATGTTTTCTTAGCTGTAGGAATAAGAGGGTATAAAATGGAAATATCATTTGCCATAAAGGTTGGAGGTTTCCCACTCCAATCATAAGGCAATATATTTCCACCAAATATAACCAGTACATTAAAATTGGTCAGGAAAATATTTCTGAGTCAAAAACAGAAACCATGGCATCTAACCATTTCATGTTTGCATTATTGTGTTAATAAAACATATAAATACACAATAAAATAATAAAATAAGTAGGAGATATTTCAGAGTGAAATCATCTTTTACCACATAAGATGGTAGGTATACAGAACCCAAAACCCTCTTGGGAATAATCTTGTACTGAATAACATACTTGCCAGGCTATGCTCTTACCCCATTTCTTTTAAATAAACTATGATGTCCTCTACCACCTGCCCAAGGTCAGCTCATCCAAAATGGAGTTCTAACAAGAGGTAGCGAGGCCTTGAAAAAGTTTCACTGGGCTGGGGCAGGGTCTCTACCTTATGGCTTAGAATTCAGTGGAATGGAATAAGAATCTAATTTTTATCACCTTCTAGAAAGGTTACATTGTCTTCTTGAAAAAAATCCTTTGAGATTCTAACTGGTGTTATGTAATCCATATCAGGAGTGGGCGTTCTTGAACTGCACCCTTAAAGTCAATCAATGCTCCATCGTCAAGAAAAAAACAGCACAAATATCTACTCTGCTGGATGCACAATTTGTGCAAAAAAAAAAAATAGAACCAAAAGAAAATAGGTTATCCTCATATTGTCAAGATGAGAGAAAGAAGTAAATTGGACATACCAATGGTTTTCAGCGAATTCACAGAGTAGACAGGATCTGTAATGGTGATTGTCATGCCAAAGAGCAGCCAGGACTGCAAGTCCCATGAGTCGTCATTAAATTTCATAACCACATTTCCAATGATGAGGAATGCCGTAAAGAAGCTAATCAATCCAGTTAACAAGACCTGTGAAACCAGTTCATTACACAGTATTAGATTTTTACATCTAAAGATGACCCAACTTCATTTACTTATGTGAGAATCATGTCTTGGTTATATATTTTATATGATTCCTCTGGAAGATAACTTCGAAAGGTATTCTAGTTTACCTGCCTCAAAACAACCATACCTTCCCAACAAATGAGATTCTACCCTCTTGGTAAAAGACCAATTCCACCATCTTTCTTGTTGCTAGTCCAGCTTAACAGTTCTCACCATCAAAATGTTCTTAAGGGCCGGCCGAGTGGCTCAGTTGGTTAAGAGCTCGCTCAAGAGTTTGAGCTCTGAGCAACAGCAGTTCGAGTCAGGCCTGAGCTGAGCAGCCGCTGAGCTGCCAACAGGTGGCAGATGGCTCAGCTAAAAAAAAAAAAAAAAAAACTAAACAGATCCATCACTCCCCAAAACTTCCCATGCTGCCCCTTTGTAGTCCATTTCTTCCCCCGTGCCCAGTCCCAGGCAACCAACAATCTGTGCTCCAAACCTGTCATCTTGCCTTGGCTAGAAGGAAGGTCTATGAGAAGAATTATACAATATTTAGCCTTTTGAGCCTCACCTTCTTTCTCTCGGCATAACCCATTTGAATTTCTTCCATGTTGTACCTATCAATACTGTACCCTTTTTATTGCCAAGTAATGTTCCATTGCAAGATGTACCAAACTTCATAGCTAACAAAACAATCTACTGAACAAATGTAGACCCCTGCACTCAACACTTAGAGAATATACACTGTGAAGCAAACACAGAACATTTTGGGAAACTGGTCATGTGCTAGGCCACAAAGCAAATCTCCACAAATCACAAGAGCTGATATACAAGGTACATTCTTTGATGACACTGTGATGAAAGAAATAGTAATAAAAATACCTATTTGGAAATATTAAAAACAATTTCTAAATAACAGGTCAAAAAAAGCATAATAAAATTTAGGTCGGATTGGAATGATACTAAAAACACTAAAAACAAAACATGTGAGATGACACTAGGAGAGCAGTTACAGAATTTAAAACCTTAAATGTACAAAATACCAAAAATAAAAAAGCTAAAAATCAAACAACTAATATCTAACTCAAGATGTTAGGGGGAAAAAAATAAAATAAAACCAAAGAAAGTAAAATGTTCTTTGAAAGGAAAAATAAAAGGCACAAATAAAACAATCTTAGCACTAAAAATGGACAAATCTACAGATTCAGCTGAGATGAAGTCAGCTGTGGAATTAGAAAGCAGGCTCTGCCGTTTATCAGCCTGGTTTGTGGCCTCTGAAGAGCAGTCTGCTTATACGTAAAATGGAGATGATGGTTACTTAGTGCCTAATCACAGTGGTCCATCATTCTCCCTCCCTTCAGCTCTCTTTAATTACTGGTTCTGCAGAATGAGGAGAGTAAAACAACTAAAAATGTGAGATTTGTGAGTTACTCGTCTCCTTTACAGACTGTCACCGTCTCTGCCAACATAAATAAGCAAGAATTGACCATAACATGTTTTGAAATCTGTTCTTACCTGCCAAAGCATATTCTTGAGTATATAAAAGTCCACGTCCAAAGCAGCCATGAATATAATTAATGGTGAAAAATAACAATAAAGTGAAAAACTTGGTGTTCTTAGAAGAGGGTAAACCATTTGGTGCATCTAAAATAAAGAAAGCAAACAAGAAATTAGTGTGCTGCCATTTTGAACTTTTAGAAATCAGGTCGATGGTACGTCAATCAATATAAATCTTAGCATATTCTAATGTGCAACTAATGAGAGGTCATCTACAAGGCTAGTCCTAGGAGTCTTGGGGTAGATTTCTTGACCCATCTGTCCAGGTGGATTGTATGTGCAATCCCATCTTCACTAGAGAATTGTGTCACTTTGGGCTACATCAACATTGCTTGTGATAAGGAATCAGTGTTTTCAAAAGTGGAGCCCCTACCAGTGGTGATCTCTGAGACCATTTTGGGTGATTCACAGATAAGTATTTTTTTATTTGACTGTTAAAGATTTATTCTAATTTGCATTAAGAGGGATAAAAGGGACCTGGCATAGGTACGTGTGATTTCGAAGACATTTGCTTAGGATTTTACAATCTTTCAGTGAGTCAAGTAGAGAAAAATAATACACAGATACTAAAACAGGCTGTGCACGTGAGAGAGAAATCGTGAAGATTGTACCCAGATAACTGGAAAACACAGCAGCAATGGCTGAAATGTCAGTCTTCCCTCCTAAAAGGTTTTGGCCCCAATGAATAGCTTAGTCTTCATTACTTAACCCCTCTGTGCCTCAATTTCCTCACCTGTAAAATAGGAATGGAGTAGCTACTTCCACTGGGTTGCTGTGACGATGAACTCATTAAGAGTTAATAAGTTAATAAATACAAATCACTTTTTGAAAAGGGAGCCTGGCACATAGGAAACGCCCAGAAGATGTTCCCTGGCAGCAGGGGTGGGGTTTCAGAAGAGGCACTGGAGGCCTCTACCATCCTAGACAGGCACAAGAGTGGTCTCCATGTTCAGAAAAATAAACAAATGAGTGGAGACAAAGCGTTATTGGTTGTACTGCTATGCATTTGAAATCATGAGTCAATAATGAAAATCTTTAACTATATTGTATGTGACACAGATTTTCCATTTAATCTGGCAGTTAGAAAACAGTGGCCATGTTTCCTCACGACAATACCTGCTTCCTTCCATCATTAGTCTCCACAGGTGCTGCAGACAATAGCACGGAAGACACCAGTATACGTACAGGAGGAGGAAACCAGGGCAAGGCTCCAGAGGAGGTGATCAAGAATCCACGAATGCCATCAGATTTTCCTCACTCCCAGGTGAGTGCTTTTTCCTAAGCATCCCTAATTTCTGTCTCCTTGACTCTATGGTTTTTTCACTTTCAAAAGTTTTACTAACAGAGGAATTTTTTCAGGAGCTATTCACATAAAAAAAAATCCAAACATTCAGGGATAGGGGTGGGAGTGGACCTGGGTTGGGGGTCTTTCTTCTTTCATGTATTCTCTAGTTAATGGTATATACATTACCTCAACAAAATAGTAGGCCAGCTGTCCTATCACAAATCCTCCCAGAAAAAGGATTGTCAAGACAATGACTTCACAATTCTTTAAGCATGCCTTCAGAAACCCTAAAGAAATACACAGATGTGTTATTGAGGCATAATGTATAGTTTCAAAACAGTATCATATCCCTTCTCTAGTGATTTAATGTTAAACATCCCCTCAGTGTCATCTCATCATGAATAAATGATGGACAGCTGTTAAAGGTGCTGTCGCTTAACTATAAGACACACATAATGAGGCACCCCTTGCAGGTGAATTTGGAAAATATTGAAGTTTCAAAAACTTCCCTTGTGCCCACCCAGTGTGTCACATTAGGATTGCTGTACAGGTAGGTGTCTTACCTATGGATCTAGTGAGGAATTATGAAAAGCCAAACTTCATATCTACATAATATCCCTTATATTAATAATTACTCATCCTAAGCTATAGCAACATACATTCTATAGTTTTTCCTGAATGCCGGAAATACTTTTAACTGAGCTCTAACCATAGGGAAAACTGCTTTCACCAGACAAGTAACAAAAGACATTTGCTAATTCTCTGTCTACAAGCATTTTCTTGCCTGAAAACTCTCTGCTGTAAGATTATTCCATTCATTTTTTCCAGAAGCAACATATAGACTATAATCCAATTACTTTATGCCTCAGGCAAGACTCACTGCCATCCCAGGTTCTGCTTTTCCTGACTTCTAACTATAGGTCAAGCCAAATCGGTAAATATTTATTGAATACTTATTTGTAAGGCCAGAAAAGAAGTGTTTCTCAAACTATTTCTGCAGTGCCCTTTACTGCTGGACCACTTGCCTCAATGGAATCATCAAGGATTTGGAGCTAGTCAAGCTCATGGTCACCAGCACCTCGTATGTAGTAGCAACAGGGACCAAGGTCATTAGGGAGCATTTTAAAGACCCCAGAGAAACAATTTCACTGCCTGATACAATGAGTAAAATTGAAGTTTTTTAATGTATGTTTGCTTCTTTGTTTGTTTCTTTATAGTCTTCCTAGTTCCAGAAAGGATTTTAAAGCAGCCGCCATTTTTGCCAAATAAAACTTTTTCAGTGGGGGCTAGAAACTTCTCTAATCAATAGCCTTGCATTGTGGAATCAAGCACTTGAGGTTTTGAGTATGTTATTTTATCTGCATGAATATCATTCACCAAAATAACCTAGTAAATTCTTAATCATTGTTTGAGAAACCCTTGCTTGTGAAGCCTTTCCTAAACTCCCTGATAGGGGTGGGGTGGGTGCTGCGTCTTCCCCAAGGAGAAATCACATCAAAAGCCATAACTGAACAGACAACATGGATGATGCCAACTATGCAAATTGTGAATCATTATGTCTACGTTCTGTTTGCCCCAACTGCCCTCCCCACATCCCAGATACTTTGGTCGGGTTTGGCCTGGCTGGCAGGCAGGGTAAGGCTCCCTCCCCCTCCTCATTCCCAGAGATCCCTGGCCATACCTTTTAGTTATGCTAGGCACACTGCACTGTAGTGAGTTGTTTGCCTGTCCCCCCTGCCAGCCATGAGAGGGCTTAATAAGGCTCAGAACAATGTCACCGCACCTTGCTCAGCCAATGTCACTGAGTGAAGGAACACGGTGTACATGCCACTTAGAATTAAATGAAGCTTACATCTCATAATTTCACTGGACCCCTTTTTTGATGGAGTTGTAATTACTTTCTGCACTGACAAAGGTTCAGAGGGCAGAGGAAAGATGACATTTAAGAACCACAACCTACCTCCAAAAACAATTATGGACCATATGAGCAATAGAAAATGTCCCTTTATGAAAGCGTAGTGAGCCGACCTTCCACAGATTGAATCAGGTCTGTTACCTTTTTTTATCTCCCAGAAGGAAGAGTTCATTGTTGCGGCTGTTTTTTCAGTCCTTACTCGATGAATTCATACGGGAGTTATTATTGACACTTTCACGACTACAGACCAACCTGTAATAATATGCAAAAATGAGACTTGCCAAGACCCAATGCTCCCACATTCTTTCTATCATCCCCAGATCTGAGCACATCTCTTCTTGCCGCAGGGCACATACTGATACTTCCTGGTTCAGCTCTTGTTCCAATAGCATCTCATAGGAACACAAACAGCCAAGTTAGTGCTTCTTCCTCAGTCTGCTACACGTAGATGGGGGAGCAACTGTACAGATTTTTGCACTGACCACTGTATGAGATGGTAATGTGTTTGCCTTCCGAACCATTGGACAGTGACTTTCTCAAGGGCTAGGGCTGAATATTAATTTGTCTTAAGGTTGTACACACAGTGTGTGGTACATAATAGGCTCTCTATTAATATTTGATGAACTGAGTTCTTCCCAGGGGAACGCTTTCTCCATGGGTACAAATAATTCTGGAATCCCCTTTTACTTCTGCAATTTCATCTCCCTTTTACCCCCTTCTCAGGCCCCTCCCTATCCAAAATGGCAAATGGAAATAAGGTCAAAGTTGAGTCATGCCAGTTAAGGTGGCAGTGGGGCAGGGTGTGAAGAGGCAAATAACCTGAAAACAAAGGACAACAGGTTTGATCCTATGGTGCTTTGAGTGAATTAGAAAAAGTCCCCGTTCCTTACAGCAGGGCCCATGGTTTGGCACATGAATGACAGGCTGGATTTCAGCCCCCAACCCCCCCTACACTGATGCCCTGTGTGGTGGTCCTCAGGACTCGCTCTATTTTTCCTTGTGACCAGCCTTAACCTAACAGTTCCTCAGGTTCCCCATGTGTCCCGGATAATATTTAGAGCTCATCTTTGGTTCTCGGCTTTGTACTTGTTTGGTCTACAAACCACAGCGATTCCAGTGGGAAGCAGAGGGCAGGCCAGAAATGAGATTGGGAGTGCTACATCTCCAAACCACTTCACCTGTCTCTCAAGTAGCCCTACGGGTCCTTGGCATCTTCACAACCTGCTGCCCCCACTTGTCATTAGAGCATCACTCTCTGGTCAAGTTCTTCTCCAAACTACCAAGACCAGCGGTGCCTTCTTCCGAGGCTCAGCGGGTTTAGAGCTGAAATCCAGGTGAAGGCTGTCGGAAACCACAAAGAAGGATGCTCTCTGTGTCCGTTTGCCAGAAACAGAACTGCCAACTGATATCTCACCTATTTCCATGCCTAATTTCCCATTGGCTTCTTGCCAACCTGCTTTCATTCTGATTGGCTGTATGCATTATCCCCACCCCCAATCCAGAAGCAGCTGAGTGAGCCAGTTCCAAGGAAGCCTGCATTTTTTTACTGCTCAAGCTGTGTCTAAACCTGCAACCGCCTTAACTGATTTTTCTTTGCCTGCCATAATAGCTGAAACAGTCACTGACCATGTAGATAGAATCTCCTCCTATATATATTTTGAATATATACTGTTTTTCTTGCTTCAGCTCTAACCCTCTTCAACACTGCCTTGTCTCCCCCTCACTTTTCATTCATCCTTTTCTATTTTCTTCTTTTATACCTCTCCTTCCTTTTCAGTGAGAGTTTCTCACCCCCATTTTCCTCCTTGACTCCTATTTGTCATTGGCTTTTGGTCCTTAATTTGAAGAAACAATATCACCCACTCTTCATAGAAAAAAATGCATCCCAAATTCCAGGAAGCCAAACTTACATAGTTTTGCCTCTAATCGAATCACTAAAAACAAATATGGCATAAATTTAAACAGATGAACGTTATTAATCAATTTGTAGTTGAATTTCAAAGAAGTTATTTTGCGACAATGAAATTCTGCCCTCTCATTCCTAGGCTACATTAATCAAATCCTCTTCCCCAGGGCACCAAGGGTAACACCACAGCCATGAGATAACTAAATCTCGCCCATCTCCATCACTAAGTATCAAGGAAACTTGGACAAATCAAAGTCCGAATTCCTACTTGAGACAAAATAGTTTCAGTCAACAGCTCTGTCTGGCCCTGACTGCAACCATCACCATTGGCATTCACACACCATTCCCCCAAATATATGCTTTACATTTTGTTGTTGGTGTTTGGTGTGGTTCTTTCAAACCACTGAGCCCATCTCTGCCACAAATCCATAGGCCCATGGTAAAAAAAGAAAAAAGAAAGTCTTCTTTACAGGCTGTCTCTTGGGAGACCCATTCCTTACTCTCTGCCATCCTGCCCATACTTAACTCTCCTACTTACCAAGTTCACTACCCTTTCTCCCATTTTCACCTTCACCTTGTCTATACTGCTCATTACCTTGATTTCTCTCCTCAACTGCATTGCCTCGGATCATTTTGAGTAATGTCCTTTCAGGTTCTATCTAGTTCCTATCCTACTGCTGTCTCCTCAGGCTGACTTGGTTCACCTACACCCCACAGGTAAGACTCATGCAGTTTTACGCTTCAAAATTCAGATTCTCCATGGCTTTTTCTTTTTATTTTTTAAAGATTTTATTAGGGAATTGGGGGAGGGGAACAACGTTGGGGAATCAGGGAAGGGGAACAGACAAGTTACTGTCCTTTTTGTTCTTCAGTCTAGTTGTAGAGGACGTCGCTTCACTGGCCCATTTGGTATTATCATTGTGCTCTTCCCAGGTGAGGCAGTCGCTCGCCAGCCATTAGACGGCCATTCACAGGAGCTCACAGCAGCTCACGCCAGCTGCCAGCCATTCATGCTGGCTGCCAGCCTCTTACGGTAGCTCACGGCAGCCCGCTGCAGCCCCACTGCAGCCTACGCCATTGCCGGTAACTTGCGGCAGCCCAGCTCCAGGTTGAGCTGTTGTTCATCATCTTAGCTGTAGAGGGCACAGTGTCACTGGCTCTCATGTGGGATCCGAACCAGGGTCCTGCTGCTCAGAGCTGGCGTCCCAAGTCAACTCTTAACCAAAGCACCACTCAGCCGACCCTACTCCATGACTTTTTAGAATAGTCCTCATACATGGAGAAAACTTGTCAAAATTGAGAGTCGGCTCAAGATTACATATAGTTCTGAGAGCTAGAGACAGCACATAACTAAAATGCAGAGATAATCAGCATTCTCTACATTACAATCTTTTCCATCAAGTTTTTAAAAGCAGTAATAAATTTCTATTTCACCATTTTTTGGGTACAGCCAGACTTTGGGAGCTTTGGGAACTGAGGGCTGAGAGGCTGCCCCATGTTTCCCAACCCCATCTTCTGATAATGTACTACCTGACTGAGACAGGCATGTAACACAGGTTGCTTAGTCAGTTTCCCGTCCCCCCCCACCACTATGGTTGGTTTAGGGATGGGCATGGGACTCAGACAGGACCAATCAGATGGTTCCTCAGCTTAATGTCTTACCATTATTGGGAGAGAGCCGTTCTTTCCACCTGGGTTTACTGTGACAAGGACTGCCTAGAGCAGCTAGAAGCCACCTTCCCAGCTACACTCAGAAAGCCCACCTCAGGTGTGAAAGGCTCCATGAGGCACCATCTTACTTAAACAAGTGACCTCACAGCCCCACCAGAGGTTTGATCTCTTCTCAAAAGCCACTTCTTAGTCTGAAAACTTTCTGCCACCTAGAAAGGTTAGGAATGAGAAACAATTTTATTTTCAAACTCACCAAGTACTGGCTCCTGTGTATTTCTTTGAGATTTTATTTGAAAACTAACTATTCCTTTTCAGCTCAGCTCATCTCCTCTGCCATTTTAGTAGATGCCACGTGGCCCCTGAACACTGCTGGAGGAATCCCTGGCGGGATCACTGAGTTTTTATTTAGAAAATAGTGTGGCCAAACCCACCACCATCACATAACAAGGGCCCCTTATCTCCAGCTTCTAACACTTGCCTCTCTTTCCTATAAATTCCCACTAACAGCCTCCTAGAGGCCCTTAAAAGATCCTACTAATTATCGACTTAAGGCCCTGCGGGCTTTCACTAACACTCCCCTCTAGGTCCTTCCGGCTCCTGTCTACCACCCAGCCCTAAAAAGGCAATGCCACATATTTTAGGGTTTGTTATGTCAGTGTCTCACTTCCAGGTTCCAAAATTTGCATGTTTTTATAGGTTGCTGTGTAACAAACAGACACAAAACTTTGTAGCTTAAAAGATCAACAATCATTTATTTAGCTGAAACGTACAACTTTGCAGGGATCCGCAGGGGCTTGTCTCTGGTCCATACAGCATCAGCTTCAGGGGCTCGACGGAGTGTCCACTTCCAAGATGGCTCATTCATACGCTGGCAAATTGGGGGTGTCTGCTGGCGGGAGCCCAGTCAGGGCTGTGGGCTGGGGCCTCCGTCTCTGTTCATATGGGTCTCTCCACAGGCTGGTTTCCAAGAGCGAGCATCTCAAGAGAACTAGGCAGAAACTGCACCACCTTTTATGATCTTGTATGATCTATGGAAATCACACAGTATTCCTTCCACCTCAGTCATAGGCCTGCCCGGATGCAAGAGGAGAGGTCAGAGACCCACCTCCCTATGTGAGGAACGTCATGACCACATCGTAAGAAGAGCATGTGGGATGACAGATGTGGCCATCTTGGAAAATTCAATCTATCACGTGTTAGATCCAACACTGGGGTGCA